GTATTCTTATCTCTTCTAGCTATTCTCTGGAATTCTGCATTCAATTGGGTGTATCTTTCTCTTTCTCCTTTGCCTTTCGCTTCCCTTCTTTCCTCAGCTATTTGCAAAGCTTCCTCAGACAGCCATTTTGCTTTTTTGCATTTCTTTTTCTTTGGGATGGTTTTAGTTGCTACCTCTTGTACAATGTTGTGAACTTCCGTCCATAGTTCTTCAGGCACTCTGTCTATCAGATCTAATTCCTTAAATCTATTTGTCACCTCTACTGTATATTCATCAGGGATATAATTTAGTTCGTACCTCAGTGGCCTAGTGTTTTTCCCTACTTTCTTCAATTTAAGCCTAAATTTTGCAACGAGAAGCTCATGATCTGAGCCACAGTCAGCTCCTGGTCTTGTTTTTACTGACTGTATAGAGCTTCTCCATCTTTGGCTGCAGAGCACAGTTAATCTGATTTCTATGTTGACCGTCTGGTGATGTCCATGTGTAGAGCCGTCTCTTGGGTTGTTGGAAAAGAGTGTTTGTTATGACCATCGTATTCTCTTGACGAATTTCTATCAGCCTGTGCCCTGCTTCATTTTGTTCTCCAAGGCCAAACTTGCCTGTTATTCCGGTTAACTTTTGGCTTCCTACTTTAGCATTCCAATCCCCCATGATGATAAGGACATCATTTTTGGGTGTTAATTCTATAAGGTGCTGTAGGGCTTCATAGAACCAGTCAATTTCATCCTCTTCAGCACCAGTGGTTGGGGCATAGATTTGGACTACTGTGATATTGAAAGGTTTGCCTTGGATTCAAATTGAGATCATTCTGTCATTTTGGGGATTGTATCCCAGTATTGCTTTTCCTATTCTTTTATTGACTATACAGGCTACTCCATTTCTTCTGAGGGATTCTTGCCCGCAATAGTATACCTGATAGTCATCTGAGTTAAATTCACCCATTCCTGTCCATTTTAGTTCGCTGATTCCTAAGATGTCGATGTTCAGTCTTGTCATCTCTTGTTTGACTACGTCTAGCTTGCCTTGATTCATGGATCTTACATTCCAGGTTCCTATGGAGAAAATATCTTTACAGCATCGGACTTTCACCACCAGATATATCCACAGCTGAGCGTCCTTTCGGCTTTGGCCCAGTCGCTTCATTCTTTCTGGCGCTACTAGTACTAGCCCTCTGCTCTTCCCCAGTAGCATATTGGACACCTTCCGACCTGAGGGGCTCATCTTCCAGCGTCATATCTTTTTGCCTTTTAGTACTGTCCATGGGGTTTCATGGCAAAGATACTGGAGTGGTTTGCCATTTCCTTCTCCAGTGGATCACATTTTGTCAGAACTCTCTACTATGACCTGTCCGTCTTGGGTGGCCCTGCACAGCATAGCTCATAGCTTCATTGAGTTACGCAAGCCCCTTTGCCACGACAAGGCAGTAATCCATAAAGGGGCTTAATATGCCTACAGGATTTAAAGTCTAACTTCATCAAGGCATTATTATGCTTACTAGAATTTAAGCTTAACAGCACCTGAAAAACTAGACTATTTTAATCTTGACTTGCAACCTCCATTCCAGAATGAGATAAGCATATATGTGCAGATAGGAAATATATGTGATAGGAAAAAAAGGAGAGTGTTATATGTCATTGGCTGCTTTCTTTCACAATCAGTGGCAAAATTGCCTGACCAATAACCGGCCATAACACAGTGAAGATCTTGTTTCGTTTATTGTAATAAGCAGAGAGAAGCTATCATAGCTTGGTTCTCTCCAAAGTTTCAACTCAAACAATTCCCTTCTTTACACAACTCTGTCCTGGCAGCCACATCCCTCCTTGTTCCCCATTGGCTTAGGTACTATGAGGTTACATTCTCTCCGACCGCCACCTACATTTTCCCCAAGACCTTCCTTAAACCTACTACATCACATGTGCATTATGATTAAATTATATATGCAAGGCATGTCAATATTTTAAGTATGTGCTTTGCTTACTACTGTGACCCACTTTTTACTTCTTACAAAAACGACTTATTTTTCGGAATATTTGCCACAATTTATATGCCTCTCGCCTGTGGCTAAGCTAGCAATTTCTTGCAGCTATTTTTGCAGCTCAAATGTTTCCATGCCTCACTCTGAAGCCCCTTCTGGTGGTTATACTATGGGTTCTTGGAGTTGTTGGTACAGTACCTTCCTGTTGTTCTAATTACGAGAGCAGTTCGAAAATAAACCTTTGGTTGGTTATCAATGACATTCACAGATGCAGAACTTTTATTATACACATTTGAAAACTACAACATTACATTACTTTTCAACATAATCACCATTCAAATTGAGGCACTTGTCATAATGTCTTATAAGGTTTGAAATTCCTTAGTAGTAGTTGCTCGGCGCCAAATCTGGTCTATAGGGGGAGTGATCAAAAACATCCCAATGGAACTGCTTCAAAAGTTCTTGGGTATGTCTAGCGGTGTGCGGTGAGCATTATCGTGAATCAACACACCAGAAGTCAGCATGCCCTGATGCTTGTTATGGATGGCTCTTCTGTTTTCATAACGTTTCACAATAGACTTCTGAATTGATGTTCGAACCATGCTCCATGAACTTCACTAGCACTACTCCTTTGGCATCTTCACATTTGACAGGATTTTCTCTGGCACCATTTCCGGTAAGGTGTTGGTTCACGATAATGCTTGCCTGCACACCGCTAGATGCACTCAAGAACGTTTGAAGCAGTTCCATTGGGATGTTTTTGATCACTCCCCTTATAGACCAGATTTGGCGCTGAGCGTTATGACAAGTGCCTCAATTTGAATGGTGATTATGTTGAAAAGTAATGTTGTAGCCCAGATTTGCTACTGAGCGACTACTAAGAAATTTCAAACCTTGTAAGAAGTTATGACAAGTGCCTCAATTTGAATGGCAATTATGTTGAAAAGTAATATAATGTAGTTTTCTAATGCGTACAATAGAAGTTCTGTATCTGTGTCTGTCATTGATAACCAAACAGAGGTTTATTTCTGAACTGCCCTCGTATTTACTATTTCCTCTTGCAGCTTGGTACTTTCTGAAGCCCCATCATCACCTATTAAGAGGGAGCAAAAAGCCATTTTTTTCTACCATTATTTTACTCCCCTTTTTTCCTATCAAAAGATCGATTCACCTTTTTTATGTTCCTGCACATCTCATGTTGGCTAGGGAATTCTGCAACTTGGAAATCCACAAGTCTTAAAAAGTTGCCAAAGTTGGACACCTCTGGTCTAAATATTTCAGAATACAATCTCAATTAACCAGTGCCAGAATAGCTACAAATCTGGAGGACATGAAGCTGAGGGAAAAATGATGCACACAAAAGACTTTCCCAAGAAAAGCCAAGTTGCCTTAGCTTAACCTAAGCTCTAAGAAGATAAAAAAAGCAATGAAATCCTTGGATAGGTAAGGATCACATGAATGTCATGCGATGCTTGTGTTCAACCCCAACCTCTGCCATAGTTGCTTCTGTAATACTCATTGATAATTGAGATTTGTAATCCCATCCCACACTGGGCACGACGAGATAGGAAAACCTTTCTTACATAGTTTGGTAGAGAAGCCCTCGATATTATTCTTGGTCAGTTTTGCACAGGATACTCATTTTTTTTCTGCTTCCAACTAGCGCCTACCTTCTTTCCTAAAAACCATCAGCAACTACTTTTAGTTCATCAGTGAGAGTTTTTTTCTAAGAGGGCCACAAATTCTCGCTCGCATACATTGCGACGACCGCTAGGTAGCAGGAGAGCAACTCCAAATTTACTAATCTTAATTCGTAATGAATTTAAAATGTCCACTGCAAATTATTAAGGAGCAAAGCTTGATTTATACAACTGCATCCAGAACAACTCAAGGTTTCACAAAGAAACGCCTCACTGCTTTTTCGCGCCCAGTGAAAATGCTCGTTCCCGCCCTTTTTTTCTCACCATCCAATAGACATTGAGATCTTCCGAGCTTCCTCCCCGGCCGGTATGCGACAGAAAAAGAGGAAATGGTCTCCTATTTTCTTCTAACGGAAACACTCACGAGACGGAGGACTGTGGTAACCAATGACATACGCCGGCAGCCTAACGAGAGGTCAGAGCAACCAATGGGAAACGAGCGCGCACTGTCGCTTGCCTAGCCCTTAGAATTCACACTAGTTGTTGCAGGAGGCGGCAAAGATGGCGGCCTCTGCTAAGCGTAAATCTGAAGGAACTGAGGCGGGGAGCAGCGGGGGCAAGAATCGCCTCAGTAAACGAACCTCGAAGGAAAGCCAGCCGCGATCGGGCGATCGGCGAAGCGCCAATACATCGTTCGTCGAGGGCGCTATCGTGAAAATCTCCATGGAAAACTTCCTGTGAGTGGGAAAGACACATGGGCAGCGGCTGTACGGCTGGCCAATAACGGCGGGGGGAGAAGAATGAGGCGCGGTGGGCGTGGCCTCTTTCAAGGCCGAGAGGCGGGGTTTTCTATTTTGTCGGGAAACTTTTTTCCCCGCTACCAGAGGGCTCGCGGTGGCCCCCGCGGGTTCGGTGGGTTCCTCGGCATCCCTATATGGTGTTTTGCTCCCATTCTTGCTTCCCCTAAATCCAAGAAGGACCTTAATGACTTCTTTTATTATCAGCAGTAGTTGCCCCATCAGAAAATCAGGTTCATCTTTATACACTTTACCTCAGATCCTAAGAGCAGTCTAGACCAGGGGTCCTCAACCTTGGCAACTTTAAGACTTGTGGACTTCAACTCCCAGAATCCCTCAGCCAGCTTTGCTGGCTGAGGGATTCTGGGAGTTGAAGTCCACAAGTCTTAAAGTTGCCAAGGTTGAGGACCCCTGGTCTAGATGTTCTATTGCATTTAGACGGAGAGGGAGTCATTGAAGTCGCAAAGAGAGTCGTAGTGCCTAGTAGTGTCTATGTAGCCTACGGTTTCTGATTTCCCCTTGCCGCCTTTACAGTCATGCCCCCATTGGTCATCTATACAAAACTCTCAACTTCCCTCAGGAAGGGGGGAACAGGGAGTCAGTCAATCAGAATAAAGCTGGAAGGGACCTTAGAGATTTTCTAGTCCACCCCCCTGCTCAAGCAGGAGACCCTAAACCAGGGGTAGGCAACCTTGGCTCTTTTATGACTCGTGGACTTCAACTCCCAGAATTCCTGAGCCGGCATGGCTCAGCTTGGAAACCTCTCTCTTTTCCCTCAGCATGGCTGGCTCAGGAATTCTGGGAGTTGAAGTCCACCAGTCATAAAAGAGCCAAGGTTGCCTACCCCTGCCCTAAACCATTTCAGACAAGTGGCTGTCTTCTTAAAAAACCTCCAATGATGGAGCGCCCACGATTTCCGAAGGCAAAGCTGTTCCACTGGTTAATTGTTCTCACTGTTAGGAAGTTTCTCCTTGATTCCAGGTTGCTTCTCTCCTTGATTAGTTTCCATTCATTGTTTCTTGTGCTTTGCGTTCTGGTGCTTTGGAAAATAACTTGAACCCCCCCCCTCCCCTCTTCTTTGTGGCATTTAAACATTTTCATCCTCTACTAGCTAACCAAATATTCACTCTTAGTCTCTAATCAAAGCTAAATAATACCTATTTTCTGCTCCTATTTTTCAGTAATTGGTATTGAGAGGCATATTGCCCCTGGTACTGGAGCTAATAATTAGCCATAATGATTGACTAACAACCTTTATTAAAGTTATTAAAGTTGCCCAAGTGTGTGCCCAGTGTTATCCTATGAGAGTGAATTGACAAATGATTTGCAATGAAAAAGTTCTTGTTCACTTTATTCACACCATATAAGTATTACATCCCCCTACATTTATCTTTTCCCTTAAAAGATGTAGATATAACTCTCACCTACAAGGGAGGTGTTACAAACATTTGATGGTTAACAGATTGGCATTGAAAAGTTAGCTTTAGATGGGATTCTTGTTTCAGTTAAGACATTAATTTCTTTGTTCTTTGATAAACTTTGTAGGATAGGATTTTATTTTTCTCTGTTTCTGAGCTAAAATTTAAAAGTCAGATTATCTTAAATATTAGTTTCTTTCTTTGCTTTATACCCTGTCTCTACTTTGGTGAGCACTCAAAACAGTAATGAAAAAAAATGGGGGGGAAAATAGAACTATTGATAACATAAATTCTGCTTCTTTTTTATTTTTATAAATAACTTTCTTATAAACATTTCTTTTAAAAAAATTGATTTTCAGAACCTATGATAACTGTGTGGTGTTTCCAGGCCCTCATCTAAATATGATAGTGGGAGCTAATGGGTCAGGTAAATCAAGCATTGTATGTGCGATATGCCTTGGATTGGCAGGAAAACCTTCCTTTATAGGACGAGCTGACAAGGTGAGGATTTGGTTTGGTTCTGTTTGGAATCATATGATATAATTTGGACTTCTGTTAGGGTACATATCTTTAAGTTGTATAAAATAACTTCAATCTAATATATTGCAAATAAATGATGGTCCTTTGTATAATAAGTTTAATGCATTATGTTTCAGGCATAAGTTTTGACTGAAAAGATAGCATCATCGGGATGTAAAGTAACCCAACCCTTTTGCCACCAGCAGAAATAAAACAGATAAAAAGGATCCCTTCTCACTCTAAACCGAGGTCTGGTGGAAAAACCATGTTTTTAATGATCTGTAAAAGTCATTATATTAGGGGTCATCTGAACTTCAAGGGGAATGCTGTTCTCGGGGGTAGTTGCCACAACAAAGGCAACCTACTATCTAGTTCCTGCTAGAAGGCATTACTTGATTAACAAAACCAGGAGAGAGACTGGTTTATTTTGTGTAGTTCTTTTTCTAAATAACTTTCATCTCTGGAATGTTTGTTGTCCTAGATGTTACTCCTTAATTCTCCTCTCGCCTTTGTTATGCCAATACTGTATTGCATCTGCTGGATTGTTTTAACTGTAATGATTTCAAAGGGGACTAAATATTAAATTCTGGTCTTTTTACTTTTATGCCCTTTACTAAATAGCATATTTTGCTGTAAATACTGCACTGTACTGGCAATTATGATTTCTGCCATGAGTTAGAGAGCTAGGTGCTGCTCGATTGTATGTTGAGTTTAGGTAACCAAAAATGATACCTCATTATGCTTACTTTCCTCTGCATTCTTTTTTCATTTCACTAATATCCTGTCCCAATTTGTACTAAACAGCTCTACTGTTTAGGCATTTCATAATTGATATGCAATATTTATAAATTAAGGCTCTCTCTATGTATCTTTTCCTTTTCTTCAGGTTGGTCATTATGTGAAGCGAGGTTGCAGTAAAGGAATAGTTGAAATTGTGGTGTGAGTAATGAGACTTGTTTATATGCCTGTTTTCACAAGTGTACAGGTAGTCCTTGACTTACAACAGTTTAGTGACTTTTTGAAGTTACAATGGCACTGAAAAAAGTGACTTATGACTGTTTTTCACACTTATGACCATTGTAGCATCCACATGGTCACGTAATCAAAATTCAGAACCTTGGCAACTGACTCATATTTATGACGGTTGCAGTGTCCTGGGGTCATATGATCACCTTTTATGTCCGTCTGACTAGCAAAGTCAATAGGGAAGCCAGATTCACTTAACAGTAATGTTACTAACTTAACAACTGCAGTAATTCACTTAATAACTGTGGCAAGAAAGGTCATAAAATGAAGCAAAACTCACTTAATAAATGTCCCAATTAGCAACAGAAATTTTAAGCTCAGTTGTGGTTGTAAGTCAAGGACTACCTGTACTTGAAAAATAATGTTATTGAAACATTATTTTAATGTTTATTTTAATAGTCCGTATACAGTACTATTATACAATAGTACCATGGCCTAAGGTAATATGTAACAATTGTTTTCTGGTCATTAGGCATAAGAAGCCCAACAATATTACTATCACACGAGAAATTTCTGTAACAAACAACCAGTCAACTTGGTTTCTTAATAAAGCCCCCTGCACTCTCAAAATAGTGGAGGAACAAGTCTCAGCTTTAAATATTCAAGTGGGCAATCTGTGCCAGTTTCTTCCACAGGTACGAATACTTTTCATTTTAAAGAAAATATAAATATTAACAGTTTCAATAAATGAAATAATGAAGGATGTAATGATATGAAAAATCCTGTGCAAGATAAATGCTTACTTCCTGATATTAGCTATTAGATACAATAGGGTAAGTTATGAAAACAATAATCTTTATAGTACCACCACTTTCATTCCAATGTGTGCATGACATGATAATAGAATTAAAGGACAGGAAAGTGATTATGAATAAATGTTAGGAAAAATTGTCGTAATATAAAAGTAGCTTGACAGGGAAACCAGTTAGACAAACTAGTTGCTTCCCTTCACTGGGTGTTTTCAAGCAGAAATTGAATAGCCTTCTTTTTGAATTGTTTTAATTTGAATCCCTGCATCAGTAGGGAATTGAATAACATAAATGGCTCCTTCCAGCTTTATGGTTCTTTGATTTATTAGACTTCTCTCATTTATATTAGTATAATTGAAGTATTTTCTGTGAATGGTACTACCATAAATAGAAGATTTCTTGTATAACGAACTTCTGCAGTAGATATGTCTTGGGTTCAATCTAGTGCTCTGTGAGAAGTGTGAAATCATTCACAGAGCATCCTGTTATTTAACCTCAGCTGAGTGACTTACCTATGTGTGAAATATGCTGCTGCTATCTCACAGTGAAAACTATAGGACCATCTGTAGCAGCTGAAACAGCGTTCTGCCCACAACCTTTGCTGGTTTGTCTCTGATTCCAGCATCCCAAAGCTGCGTGGGAACTATATTTTGGCAATAGAATACCTTCTGCTGGCAAGGTGGAGAATCAGTGTTCAAAAGCCTTGTTTAGGGTAAATGTGTTAACATATAGATGCAAAGGTTGTTGCCCAGAGCCTACCAAAACTGCTGTGTGGTGGCTACTAGTCTGGAAGAACTAAAAATAGCTGGATATTTATATTAGTTCAAAGTTCGTGTCTTTTAATGTAAAATATAATTGAATGCATTTATACGCATAAAATACTGCACATCTGCTTTGCAGGATAAAGTTGGAGAATTTGCAAAATTGTCCAGAATTGAGTTGCTTGAAGCTACAGAGAAATCAATTGGTCCACCAGAGATGTACAAATTTCACTGTGATCTGAAAAACTTCAGGCAGAGGGAGCGAGAACTTGAAGTATGAGTCTGATATGTATTGTATAAGATAAATATTGGGTTTGTTAAGTTCTAAGAATGTACAAGATAAATTTCCTTCTTTTATTGAAAATGTTTTATGACTTTACTCGGAAGAGCAGGCATGGTATTATCTTGGCTTATTGGCTTTGTTTCTTGCAGCTTTTATTTATTCTTTGCTTATTGTGTATCTTCTTTCTAGCTTTATCTTTTTTTAACTATCTTAGATTAAAAAAAACCCAAAATAATTGACGTTTCTTTAATGATTGCTGATTCTGTCCTTGTTCCTCAGAAAAACTTTTCTTTCTTTTTCTTTTTTCCTGTTTATTGTATTTTATAACAAAAAAAAATCACAAAAAATACAGAAGAAATGAAACACAAAAGACAATAACACTAAAAATAACTGTATAGGATAAAGAATAAAATATACCCACAAAAAAGCAAATACTAAAATCTAAAGATATATAGTTGATGAGTAGAAATAATTAGTTTACAAAAAACTTGTAAATCTGTATTATTATCAAATAAGAAAAAAAACTGGTAAGTTTTCAGAAAGACTTAAATGTTTTCTTTCCTTTACATCTTAGTCCCTAGGAATAAGTAGTGAGTAAATGTCCAGGGATATATAGCAGCACTGTACTACTGTTTGTTTATAGTATTTTTGCTTTATGTTACAGTAACGCTTTCAAAATGTCTTGCAGTACAGCAAAACTGTATGACATTCATTTTAATTGTCAATATATATGGATCGATCTGTTATGTTTTGCAGTAATTTACTGGGAAGGTTTTCTAGAGATAACCATGATTACTTGAAGTTTGATGAGGGGGAATGCATAATCTCTGCAAATGAGTATGTTGCATTTTATTTAAACAAATATGTTGGATGGTTGGAAATCATGGTTATTAGATTTTATATTTTATATTAATTACAATTATTCTATTGAAATATCCTTTTGCTATTATTTTGATAATTATGAAACAGCTTGATATATTTTTAATGTTTTTCTACAATGTAAAAATTGTATTTATTTATTTAAGGTATTATTTATAGCTATCCACATCAATAGATTCTTGTAAAAACTATTTTGTATTTATTTACTATTTATTTCATAGATTTAAAAAATTAGTCATTTTACCCAACTTTTTTTTTAAAAAATAAGATGAAATTAAATTAAACACGCCATTTTTAAAAAGTAATCATAGTTCTTATTAGTAATGCTGCCAAGTAGAATCTCAATTATGTTAACATAACTATCAATATAGTATTTAAATATAGTTAAAGTTGGGGGTGAGAATTTGGTTGAGGGGATATCTTGTTAATTCAGTTATAAATTATTAAGATACAGAATTAAGAATTATGTTAATTTTTAATGGGAAAATAAAAAAGGAAATATAAATGTCCGTTAATAAATAGAAAATACAGGTAGTCCTTGGTTTGCAACCATTTGTTTAGTGATGGTTCAACAACAACACTGAAAAAAGTGACTTATGACTGGTTTTCCCACTTAGGACCGTTGCAGCATTTCCCTGGTCACATGTTCAAAATTCAGGCACTTGGCAACTGGCCTGTCCTTAACGACAATTGCACTGGCCCTGGTCATGCCATCACCCTTTGTAACTTTCCCAGCAGGCTTCCGACAAGCAAAGTCAATGGGGGAAGACAGATTTGCTTAACGATCGCATGATTCATTTAACAACTGTAGCAAAGTTCACTTAACAACTGCCTACTGAGCAATGAAAGTTTTGGGCTCAGTTGTGGTTGTAAGTTGAGGACTGCCTGCATATATAATATTATTGATTGAACGTTTTCATTCAGTAAATATTTGGCTTCTGTTAGCACATTTCTATGGATCTGAGCTGACTCAAAGCAAAGACCAGGAACTCTAGTTACAATGAATTTTTCTGCATTATATTCAACGGTATATTGGGTTGTATCAAGTGGTGTCCCTTTGCTGAATGTTCATTGGTCCAGTGAAGATTTCCCTCAATGCCAGTAGGGAATGGAGGACTCCTCCAAATAGAGGGAGAATTGTTAAAAATTGCCTCTCCCATTCAGCGGGTGGAAATTGAGAGCAAATAATTGACTACAATCTAGTGATAATTTCTGTGACTACAACCCCAGTGACATTTCTGTTTTTAACTTGCACACTGCAAAATAAGTTGTATTTTTGGAGATAAAATTCCCATTTGTATTAATACTAATACTAATTGAATGAAGTAGATGGTAGAACAATAACCTGAGAGTTAACTTGGTTAATTTAGTCATGTAAATAATTTAAAATATATGTGCTGGCAGAATTCATGCACGGAAAAAAATAGCAGTCTAGAAAAAATGAAGCAAAAGAATGAAAGATATAAGCAAGATGTGGAGCGATATCATGAACGTCAGCACCATATAGATTCAATTGCAATGCTTGAGAAAAAAAGGCCATGGGTGGTAAGTTCTTAATTTTTAAAAAAGATTTGAAAATGTATTTTTAAACACAGATACACAGAGATATGCACATGTACAAAAGCAAGGCTAATATAGCAAGAAAGAATTGGAGCGAAGTGGGGAAGCTGATCAAATGTCAACTATCTGTAATCTGTATTTTGTCTAACAAATGTCTGCCTAAGGTAACAAAAAGGGAGATTACAAGCTGTTGGTAAATGTTTTAAATATACCTTTTTGCTAATTTCCATGATTATCAAATCTAGAATAAATTATAAATTAGTAACATTTTCAAAATGAAATTATGAAAAATTCACTTTTTTCTCCCCTCCGCCATAATAAGTAGCTCCTAAAATTCTTCTTGTCTTGGAATTGAGTTAAGATTTTTTTTTCATCCTGCAACTTAATTTGAGCATTTTAAAACAGGGTAGGAAAAAAATTAAATTGTTTAATAAATCACACAAAGGTAAAGTTGAACTCAGTTTCATGGGCACTGGTAATTCTATAATAGTAATTTATGGAATTGTTTGACTACTGCCTTCTTTGATGATTTCTTATTAATGTTTTGGAAACCCTTCTACTCTCTCTATATAAGGATCTCTTTTCAGTCTATTTCATGACAGTGAATTGTAAGAACAGAAATAAACAGCCTAAATTCCTTGCTGAAGACAGAGGTTCCCCTTTCTTGTGATTTAGATTTACAATGTTCTTTACAATGTTCTTAGTATCGATTCTCACTTGTTTTCTCTAGAGCAGGGGTAGGCAACCATGGCTCTTTTATGACTCATGGACTTCAACTCCCAGAATTCCTGAGCCAGCATGGCTCAGCATGGAAACCTCCATTTCTCCTCAGCATGGCTGGCTCAGGAATTCTGGGAGTTGAAGTCCATGAGTCATAAAAGAGCCAAGGTTGCCTACCCCTGCTCTAGAGCCATATGTTGCAAAAGTGAGATGATTTTTCTGTTGTGGCAAGCCAAAACAGATTAACCCACCATCTGTTTCAATTCTCTGATTGTATTAGGGTTTTTTTTAATTCAAGAAAAACATTATGCTGCTCCCACTTTAAATAGCCTGAACACAAATTTAAAGTCATAGTGTTTCATTTTGTTGTAATATTTTAAAACTTGATTTCTATGATTCAACATTCATGCAAACTGAGATATGCCTATTTAAGTAAACATTATTGAATACTCCCCAAAAAAGTCTGAGAGCCCAGAATTTGATTAGCTACATTAAATTTAATCCTTGAATATGATTTGTATAGCATCAATCTGCTGTTCTTTTTTTTAAAAAGTAAGAAAAATACCTTTGAAATGATAATCCCCAAATTAAATTCATGATACTTTTAAAATGCTACATTGTTTCCTTCAGCTTGTTTGAGAAATGTATTGATATTTAATGCATCATCTTGACAGAAATAAACTGTTTTAAACATCAGAAAAAGGAAAGTTTCCAAGACATCCGTATTTGTTGTGTATATATACCAACAAGTGGTTCATGTTAAAAAGCAAACAATTGTGCAAGTATTACAAATAGCAGTCTCACTGTAAAATTGTTCAGGTGTTTAAATTTTGTGCAGCGTTGTAATTCTGATCATAATGTCAAATACAAATTTAGCTAATAGTGCAGTATAAAGCAGCATTCCTCCATCTGGTAGTCCCCTGATGTCAGTTGTGTTTTTCTTTTGCTAAGTAATGCCTGGTTAGGCTATTCTGGTTCAAACTAATGTATAGTAATTATATAAATATTAAATGTGAGCAAAGTAGCAAAATCAGCTAGCATCATCCTATAGTTTGTGCAGTGTCACTAATTACTTTGCATGCCTTGCTTTTTAGATATATGAAGAAACACGGAAGCTGTATGAAGAGGCTAAAAGAACCCGAGATAGACAGAAAGAAGAATTAAGAACATTGAGACAGACCCAGGCTCCTATGGTTCATGAGATCAGAGAAGCTGAGAAACAATGTGCAGAACTGGAAGACAAAATCCAGGAAAAGGCATGTTTTACATTTATTGTATCACTTTTGCATGAAATCTTATAGAAGTCAAAATGATTAATATACATAGAAAAGTTATAGGAATGTAGCCTGTTTGTCATGAAATTTAAAATTTAAAATTAAAAGCTTATAAAAAACTGTCAGGGTTAAAATAAAAGAAGCAAAGATTTCATGCAATTTAACTTTCCATCAAGTCCCCATTTCAAGACTAATGCACTATGGAAAAGCATTCTGGATCAGAGATTAATCCTACTTCCACTGGATGACATTGAAAATCTCTAATTAATCACAGTACTTGAACATTGCTAGGATAAAGCAATAACTATTTTTAGCAGAATTTAAACCACCAAATGTTCTCTACAGCCCTGGGACTTGGAAATCATAGATTGACTGAATTTTTAATTCAACAAACCAGAAGATCTGCTCTTTAAATAAGGTAGAAAGGCATAGGTTTTCTGTTCCGTACCAGTGTCCTTGTCCCATTCAGCATCTGGAGCAAATATAACTTAGGACAGCTAACTAATTCCAATTTTTAGTATTGAGAGTGCTGGTTGAAAGCTTAGAACCTTGAACAAATGCATGTAAACTTCTGCCAACCATTCTTTTAAAAGTGTTCAGTGTTATTTTCCTATTTGTGGAAGTCTATGATATCTCCGTGCAGTACTGAATGTGAAGAAAACAGAAACTTGGTTGCAGTCCAGTAACTGTAACTGTTACCAAAATAGAAATCATTTCTTAATAAATATTTCCAGTATATGTTGAATTCTTAAAATGGTTCCATAAGACTTCAGCTGTTCAAATTGCAGTTGATAAACTCTACAATAATAGTCTACAGTTTTGTATCAAGTGGCGATTATTCTCCATGAACTATAAAGAACTGTAAAGAACAAACTATATGCAGTCTGTTCACATTAAAAATGTGGCAAGCTCATGCTTTCTGGTGCTATACTAGTTGATAAATTCACTAACTAGAACACAGTGCTAAGTTAAAATTCTCTTATATATAGATTGCAGCCATCAAAGAAACATCTCAGAAATGTAAACAGCAACAAGATGCTTTGGAGAAAAAAGACAAACAGGTAAGTTTTTTTCTCCCTTAAAGATTTTGACTTTAAGGTCATTGCAGGTAGTCTCACTTAACACTGGTAATTGGGACTGGCAACTCCAATGTGACCACGCCAGCTTGTGGCAGTTGCGGTAGTTCCAGTTGCCATCATTAGGTGAATCTTGTGTAATTGCAGCATTCTGTGGTCATGTGATCACCATTTGTGATCACCCATTGATTTTGCTTGTTGGAAGCCAGCAGTGAAGATCACAAATGGCAATCTCATGACCACAGGATGCAGCAATTTTCATAAGTGTGAGTTGGTTACCAAGCACCTAAATTGTACTCACATAACTGGCAAGGATGCTGTGACAGGTGCAACCCTGTGGTAAGATGAGCAATCAAAAATTAATTAATTAATTAATTATACACACACACACATAACATAATTATGAGGAAGCATTGTAAGTCCCCTTGTTCAGCGCCATTGTAACTTTGAAAAATCACTGAATGGGTGGCTTTTAAAGAGAGACTAGTTGTAGTAGCATGGTTTTGCTGACAGACCTGACAAAATAGGTTCTTGTTCCTCTCCAATCTCACTTATCACCCAAACTTCAACCTCAGTGGAGTGAAGTGGGAAGAAGAGGAGTCCAATTTATGAATGGCAGTCTGCAGTATTAATCATTCAGTCTTGTCACAATATTCAAGAATATAAATGTTGAATTTTACTGTAATAATAATCACTGCAAATGTTACTTCAGGAGTCTTAAAGTGTAATACGGGCCCCCCTAAAATGATAGATGAGTTTATGTACATCACCCAGGCAAAGCACTTTTTAATTCTATCAACTTGCTCTAGTCTTTATTTCCCCTTGTCTGGGCAAGCTTACTGTGGGCTGGCGCAGACAGAGTTTGTACAGCACTTAGGATTTCCTGCTTCTCTAGACCAAGTCCACTGAAACTGCACCCTAACAAAGTTGGAGCAGGTTTTGATAATGCTGCTCCTTTTCCAGTTTAAGCCTGATTGGCCAAAAAGATGTTTGCATCCAGTCCTCCAGTTGTTTGACCCCTTGGATGATCACAGTTCACAATTTGAGAATCTCCAACTTAGGTGATTTTTATCAATCATTTTATTCCACACACAGTATCTATTGTAGAGTATATTGACTTATTTTTTTAAAAATATATATATTTTAGATAAGAAGTGGGCACCTTGGAATTATAAAATAGTGGTCCCCAATCCCCTGCCTGTGAACCGACACCAGTCCATAGCATGCTAGAAACCGGTCCACGCAAAAAAGTGAACCACCATCTGTGGGATGTAGGGAGCACACGAAACCACGACCCCTCCAGTCCACGGAACTGGTCCCTGGTGTCCAAAAGGTTGGGGGCCATTGTTATAGAAGACAGATGCTTGCTTTGAATATTTGGCTGTATCATTTCCCATAGTCATTGTTTACTGTACTTTAGTTTGCAAATAATAAGTTTGGGATCACCCATATTTGAAATTTTGGAATTGTGTGACATAGAACAACTTCCATTGTGGTAACAAGAGTAACTAAAATAACAAGTCTTTGCTATTTTATAATGGAAACTTACTTTTTTATTGGCATTTCTGGAAAGTGTTTCTATGCATTTTTTTTAGATTGAAGATATTAAACTAGCTTTAAGGATGAAAAGAGAGGCAGAAATGGATCGGCAGAAGAGAATACAAAACATTCGTAAGATGATAGAAGACTGGACCAATGAGCTTAGAAACACAGAGAATGCTGAGAACATTCAGCCTTTAATGAATTCTCTTAATGTCAACCTTAGACAGTTGGAAGAAGAGAAGGCAAATATTGATGGTGAATTAAATGATCTGCGCAGAGAAAGGGAGAACTTGCTAAAAGAAAGAAAAGGTAAAGGTGCTAAAGTATATTTTTGCTATTCATACAACCTGAGTTCCAAACAAATAAACAGATATTGATAATTAACAACTGGCCCACTCTGTCCAGAGGGAAAATATTATGTTCCTCTTACCTGTTCCATGGCAGGATCCAAGCAGTTTATTTACTAAACTTTGGATCCTGGTATCAACCAAGCATTTCTGTCTGAATATCTTTAATATTCATTTTTTCATATTATGATTCTTTATCGAACATTCGTAGAAATTCTAAGACTTGCTAGATGTTGGGGAATAGTTTTGGGGAACGAGATTTATATAAGCGTATAAATACACCTTTGGATTTTGTCTTATTCTCTAGTTATAATTTATACTAACAGAAAGATTGATGTTGAGGAAAAGGGTGGCTATTGCTATGAGAGCTACACATCTTTTGAATAGCACTTGCTATACGTTTGTTTTCTGGTGGAAATTCAGCAACTCTTGTTGGATGATCTCACAGGAATAGTTCATAAGTCTCCATTAAGTTCTTGTAAACAGTAGCCTCTGTTAGAAGAGCAGAAAAATACCCAATTAAGTATGTCTTCGCAGTCTATTAGTAAAATGGGAGGGGGGCTATATTTGTAATCATATATTACAGTAAATATTTCAGGGGTTATTAAAATTACAGGTATAGCAGACCGCATTGCTCAATTTGAAAATCTGATGAATATGAAGGAAGAAAAGCTCAGAGGGAGATTCCGAGATACACATGATGCTCTTATGTGGCTAAGACAGAATAGAGGGCAATTTAAAAGAAGCGTCTGTGACCCTGTGTTGCTTTCAGTAAGCTGATTCACTTTAATATTATTACTAAAATTTAATCATTACTTCCGTTATAATCTTATTTTTAAAACCTTTTCTAAGCAATCCATTATTTTATTATCAACGGGGATATGTGCATTTTGACGTCTTAGGTTAGCTATGTCAGTATAATTTGTCTCGTGAAACTTAAGTACAGAAAATATAGAACCAAAGATTTTTGTTCTGATGCTTTATTATATGCCTGTGTTATAAAGAGTATTCACAAAAATGTCAGAATTCGGATACATTAACATTTTTAATTATTTAATTTTGAGATGATATCATGCTTATTACGTGAAGGTAATAATAACAATATGCTCACAAATTGCAACCTGTTGAGTACTTGGGGAGAGGGCTTTGTTGCATTCGTGGTTGCAATATATACGAAGTATAACAATTTTCCTTAGTGGGTACTGTTCGGTATAGGTCTTGTTGGAGAACAGGTTGCTTTTCACAGTCATGAATGATTGCTCTATAGCAGCATATTATGTGGAGGGAATGGTGCACATTATTTTAAAAAAAAACGGGTTTTGGATTTTCTAAATGCAATTCTTTTTGTAACTGTAGTTTCTTTTCTACAGATCAATATGAAAGATAATAAACACGCTAAATATGTAGAAAATCACATTTCTGCTAATGACATGAAGGCCTTTGTCTTTGAAATGAAGGAAGATATGGAAATATTTTTAAAAGAGGTAAAAGTCTGTTCACATTATTAGAAACTGGTGGTGTAGGAGACTTAATAATAAGTAGGCTCTGTGGCATCCAGCACCATGTGTCATTACTGGCATTATAATAGCACTAAGAATACTTAATTAAATAGCATTCCCACCTATGCAATATAATTATATATTTTAGAAATTTATCTTGTTGGGCAAGTAGAATGGGGCAGGGGACTCTATTCTGTTCAACAGTAAAGATGAATATTTGAAGCTTCAGGCCTCTCTCTCTCTCTCTCTCTCTCTTTCTCTCTCTCTCTCAGGCCTCTCTCTCTCTCTCTCTCTCTCTCTCTCTCTCTCTCACACACACACACACACACACACACACACACACACACACNATTTCTTCTTTAGAATAATCATGCTTTGAGTGGCCAATAAATAATTCAAAGGACATAAGATAGACACTACCAGAATCACCAGCCAGGTGATCAGTAATGAGAGATACTTGGAACTATAGTGCAGCAATAGCCATTCAAACTATGTTCTGATAACAAACTCTTGCTTAGTGGAAGATATAGCTTCTTTTCAATAGTGTCAAAACACAATAATAGAGTCCACTGTCTCCAGAGTAACCTTCTTTATTTCTTTACACCTGTACAATGTTTGCAGTCAGAATTGGATGCATTTCTTGATATGATTCATTTAGCACAGAATAAAGTAGAACCTATTTCCTACATTATGTGCTTTTATTAATGGTTAGATTGCAGTAGATTTTTAAATGGATATTTAATCATTGCTGGCTTTTGTTCAAGTTACAAGCCATTTTATGAATACTGTTCTAAGGCAGGTCTCCAATCTTAATAGAACTCTCTCCTTAATAGACGTAAAAGTGCTCTTTCTGATATAGAGTTAATAGTAACTCTCAAATACTTGTGAACCATTTTTTGTTAATAATATTACCTTTTGAAAAGAAAGCAAAAATACCCATATAATTTAGCAATTTAATTATCTTACACAGGTAATCCTTGCTTCACGGCCACAATTGGTACCAGCAACTGTGTCACTAAGTGCCATGATTGCTACGTGAAATATCTCATGACCGTGATGTGCTTATGACCTCACTACTGCTTTGGTTGTTAAATGAATCCCCATGGTCGTTAAGCAAGACATTACATGACTGTGACTTAGATTTTACTTCCACATTCTTTATTAACTCTGCTTGTCAGAGATCAGGTGTGAAGCACATAAGTGGAAATCGTGCCTGCGAGGTGCTGCGATGGTCACAAATGCGAAGATTGGTCGCAAAACTTTTTTTTTTTTACATCAACACAACTTCAAATAGTTGCTAAATGAAGCAAGTGGTAATCGAGGACTGCCTGTATAGAGTGGCAATGCAGAAAGAATATCCTTAGTTAGATTCAGAAGGCAATATTATAATACACCCTAATAATAATCAAATTTATTATTTTAAGATAAATGAATTCACATTTTCGTTATTGGTGCAACCTATTGTAGATGCGGGATAATCGCAAACTAAGAGTGAATGCTGTATGTGCACCTAGTGAATCATTTGCTGAAAAAAGACCTTCAAAACCAATTGAAGAACTGTAGTAAGTAGTATACAGCCCTATGTTAAAATCAGACATTACTTAAATTAATGTGTGTGTGTAAAAATAATATATAGTGCTTAACTTGGTGGGGTTTTTTTTTATCTTTTTTATCTTTTTGTTTCTACTTGCTTGCTTATTTTTTAGCTTGTTTGTATCCCACCTTTATTATTTTTACAAGTAACATGGTGGCAAACATACACAACACACCTTCCTCCTCCTGTATTCCCCACAGCAACAACAGTGAGGTGGGTTATGCTGAGAGAGAGTGAATGGCCCAAGGTCATCCAGCTGGCTTTCTTCACTGTCTATAAATACTCCAAGAATGGCCTTATGCCTTCTTTTCTACTGTTGTTTTCTTTTGAAATTAAAGAGGTTTTTTTTTTACTTGTAAATAAAATCAACTTATTTGATTAGAAAAATCAACACAACTGCCTATGGTACAATTAAAATCTTTAAAAAGGTGCTCCCTTTGGTTTTTGTACTGCATACACCTAATTTTTATTTTAGTAAATGTAAAATGCTTCCTGCCACACATTTCTATCTCAGCTTCATTGCTTGGGGAATATGTTTATTATTAGTAACAGAAAAGCTGTCTACCTGTATCTCTTTCTTTCTTTCTTTCAGCCGATACGGATTTTTCTCTTACTTAAGAGAGTTATTCGATGCTCCCCTCCCTGTGATGAATTACCTGTGTCATCAGTATCATGTTTATGAGGTTCCTGTAGGAACAGAGAAGACTAGGAATATGATTGAAAGGGTGAGAAGTATTCCTGAACGGCTCTTTTGCCAGCTGAGAGAAAAAAAAACATGGTGAACCATGGTGAAATGCCCCCCCCCAAAAAAGATATTATTAACCAAACTTTAAGAGAGTAACAAAGAAAGATACACACCATCCACCGCCTTTCAGTCTGTCAGGAAGTTCCTCAGCTGGCAGCAGCTAGACTTCCTGGAAATAACTTCTCTACTTCCTGTTATATTCATCTTTTCACTTGTTTCATGTACAGGTAATAAAGGAAACAAAACTTAAACAAATCTACACAGCAGAAGAAAGGTACACAGTAAAAATATCGCGTTACACAAATCAGTCTGTTTCCACTAACACATCACTGAGGCCAGCACAGTATCTTACTGTTACAGTGGATGCAGATAAAAGAAGAGAGTTAGAAGATAAAAAAAATGTAAGTTAATTTCTGTAATGTTTCAAGAACGCGAGATTTCATTTTTATTTGAAGTTTTGGGTGTTTTTAATTTTAAAATGTCTTTGTCCTTAGCAATTTTTCTTTTCCTTTATATCTATGTCACGGAGCATTTCTGTTTTAAAAAAATAATAGTTTTATTAGCAGTATTAGTTAATTCTCTTCCTAATGGTAAATGTTTAATCTTTTCATATGTGGACTGAGTCTACAGTTTTTCTGAGCAGAGTTCCAGAAAATGCACCACTATAGAAAAAGCTATGTATATCTTGCTTCTGAAAATGGTGGCACATCCAGAATAGACGCAGTAACAAAACACACATATTCAATATAGAATGATATAAAATGACAAACCATAGGAAAGATGCATAAAATCTAACATATGATGATAAAATCATATGCTACAATGAAGAACAATAAAACAGATGCAACATACAAATTCTGTCAGGATATGAAAAAATATTTTCAGAATTGGATAACTTTAAACTAGCTTATTTTTCATCTTCAGTCATGCCTTTGTCCTGAAAATAGCAGAGAAACCTAACAACTGTCCAGGTTCAAATATTACTCACTCACTCACTCACTCACTCACTCACTCACTCACTCACTCACTCACTCACTCATAAACAAACAAATAAATAAATAAATGTGCTGATTTATTCACTTTCTCTTTTTGGAAAAGTGCTGTCACGCTTGATCTTTCATTCAGTTACTAGCAGTATGTCTTTCACCTTACTACAAATCAAATCATTACAACCTATGACTTCTAGTAGTCATTATTGTGTTGAAAATATATTGGCAATCTAGGTTATGAATTTTAGATTTTAAATCTGTTCTTTCTCACTAACTTATTAATGTACACCAATCTGTACTTCTTAAAAAGCTCAGGGTAGAATATCTTTTGAGAAATTTGGAGAGCATATAGATACAATAGAGGAGATATTGTGTGTATATCCATTTTAAAGCTAATGCAAGTTTTTAAAAGCAAGGAATGTCGATAGTTTGATAGTAAAAGAATTAAATGGATTGTACTAGAATGTATGTAGATCAAAGTTGATGATGTTATCTAGTTAGGTAATGAAACATCCTCAAACAACAACCAAGCTTAGAAAGCACCAAGGACTTCTTAAATAAATAGATTACAAAAATTCTTAATATTAACAAGAATATATAATAATTGAAGAATGATCTATCTTATTTGTTAGTAAGATAATATGTAGGAGAAAAAGTTTTAGTAGGTGGCTGAAATTTAAGTAACACATGTTCCAGAAGGTGCTTAATGCAGGAAGATAATTCACTAGGTTAATAAATGAATAGACTGAAGTTGCATTTCTGTACATTCTATACATCTTAGTTAGGATTCATTGAACTCAGTGGGACTTAATTTTGATTGACTATGCAATTGTATTGTTAATAGAAAACTCAAAGATGCTTTTTCTAGAGGCAATTGGACTTTCTTGTTTTTCTTTGAAGACGTTTCGCTTCTTATCCAAGAAGCTTCTTCAGCTCTGACTTGATGGTGGGGAATGGAAGGATTTATATTCCTTGCAGCAAGCTGATCATTTGCATTCTTTTAGAGAGTCATTGAGGCCACTTGGAAGTTTATCTGTGTCCTCAAGGTCACCTGAGTGGTGCAAATGGGTATGGAACCATCTTTGAACTGCTGAAAAGTGAAAAAGCACTTTTGGGACAACCATGACCTGGATCTCAGAATCTCCGTAGGCAGAGTTAATAGAAAAACTTCTGTCCAAAACACACATAGTTGTGTGTGTGTGTGTGTGTGTGTGTGTGTGTGTCTGAAAAGAACAGATCCGTTTACTTGAATCCAATAGTAACTTGTTACTTTATTGAACACGAGAGTAAAATATGTATAATTTAAAGCAGTCAGTACAAACATCCTTAATAAGATTGCACAGTAAAATGGGATTTTTCTTCTATGCTACTTATTTCAGGAAATTAACAGGCAGTTGCAATCATTGGATTCTCAAATGGCATTACTCTCTGAGAAGCAGAAATGCCTAGAATGCAAAGACAACCAACTCCGTCAACAGAAAAAGGAACTCTTGGAACGAAAAAATAAAAGGAAACAAATAGAATCAAAAATTAGTATGAAATGTGATAGGTATGGACTTTAAATATTATATAAAATCATTTAAAATCTATGTAGAAAAATAGAAGTTAGAAAGCAAAACCAAAACATCATCTAGTTCTTATGCAATGCAATATGCCTTTCAGGAAAAGAGGTGACTGCCACAACTTTATGATAATGAATAGATAGAACAGTAGTTCTGTTTCCTTTATGGGAAAACAAAATCTTACAAGAAAACTGTTAAAACTGAAAAACAAATATTACTAAGTTAGATTATACTTACATATTCATTTTCTCTTTAATTTTTGGATTCTCTTCAATTGTTTTCCCTTGATTGTTTCTTCCCTTCAGCAGCATTCACCTTATGGCTGTTATTTTTGCTTAAATCTTTTCTCTCTTCACCCAATCTTCCCCTCATAGTGCTTACAGATAGTCCTTGACTTACAAGCACAGTTGAGCTTGAAAATGTTGGTTGTTGACTAAAGTGGTCATTAAACGAGGCATCATGTCTCATAGAGCTACCTGCCGGAGGGACTCTGCCCTGCGCAGGGCCAAAATCCCAGCAGGCAGCCCTTTCACTCTGAAACAGGCTGGCTGAAAAAGGTCTGTCCCAAAATCCAAGCAAGATTTTGACATGGAGTATTTGCAACACAAGGCATTTGCAGCCCTGGTTTCTGGGGACTGGCTGCAAATTCCCTATCCTGCAATTTGTAGTTGCTTTGTTGTAAATCCAGGATACAATTTAGGAGCTGCTGCTGCCACCAAGACACTTGTGCAAAACTATAGGATCTCAAGTTTTTGTGTTTGTGTCTGGGAGGGATAATGGCATTATTTGAGATAGAGAAAAGGGGTGACGGTGTCAAATAGTTTAAGAACCACTGTTTCACAGATAGTTCTTGACCGCAATTGAGCCTCCAATTACTGTTGCTAAGTGAGGCAGTTGTTAAGTGAGTTTTGCCCCGTTTTACAGCCTTTTTTGCCACAGTTGTTAAGCGAATCACTGTCATTAAGTGAATCATGCGGTCATTAAACAATTCTGACTTCCCCCATTGATTTTTGCTTGTCGGAAGCCAACTGGGAAGGTTACAAATGGTGATCACATGATCCTGGGACAGTGCAACTGTCATAATTACATGCCAGTTGCCAAGTGTCCCAATTTTGATCATGTGACTGGTTATAAGTGTGAAAAATGGTCATACGTCACTTTTTTCAATGCCATTGTCACTTCAAATGGTTACTAAATGAATGGTGGTAAGTCGAGGACTATCTGTATGGCAACGATCCTTGGGATTTTAACTGTCAGGGTAATTAACATTGTAGGTAATACAATGTGTAATTTTATTTTTTTATAATGTCTTTGCTGTGATCCTGAGCCTACACATTGTGTAAACATTCAACTAAATACAGTTTGAGAAAACTGAGACAAGGATGTCTTATACTGTTGTGATGTCTAGGTGGAGAAACATGTGCTAGTTTTAAACAAGTTTCACTTAGTTGGTGGAAAGGTGATAGGGTAGATTTATTAAAGACATTAGTGAGAATTAGTGCTACTAGTGTGCAGTTAGCAAATGGTGTTAAACTAAACTTCAAAAGTTCAAGGTCATCTGTATAGCATGTTCCAATGACGATGATGATGATGATGATTTTCTACTTTCAAAGTAGCAATCTTGTTTTGTAATTTTCCACAATATTGCTGAAACATATTTTTGTAATGTTGAACTAAGAGTGTAATAATTATTCCCAAAATATTCCTCTTAAATCTTTTTTATACAGTTTAAGACAGATGGAACAGGATGGCATCAATCTGGAAGAAGAATCTGAGCAAGCAGATGCTAAAATTAAGAAACTTAACACTCAGAAAGTAAAACTTGTAATTGATTTTATGCAACTAATAAAGGTAAATATAGTTTCTAAAACAAAAGAGATACTCTTATTGCAATTGTATATTATAAAAATATTGAAACTATGAATTACTCTTTTTCATCCTCTGACCTTTTTCCTCCTCTGCTATTTTATATGGTGATTGGCACAACTTGGATAATATTTAACTGTTAATATTAACAGTTAATGTTTCATATCTTAAATTCTTGTCACTGACTGCTTTCCATTGAGAAGCATTACACTGAGTGACATTCAATAATACAAATGCTTTTGATTTAATGATGGACATTCAGTGTGTGATTCATCATGTTAATTGCCATGTGATAAGTATTGAGTTCAGTTTAAGTTAATAAATCCTGCTGTTGATCTGAACTCCAGTATTTGTATTACAACAGCACAGATGTTAAGTAATTTGCCCATTGAGACCTGTGTTGCAAGATGATGTTTGAGTAGTTTTGCAAATTGGTAAGAGAGAATTACTTTGCCCGGCCAAAATCTAAGTAACTGTCAGACTAAATATCCTCAGCAAATAAACAGTGTTCTGTTCTTGACACTGTTTTCAGCCTAGCACATGTGCTGTGATAAAACTAAAGGAGGCTGCCTTATAATGGCTTTCCTGTGGAAATTGTGGGTGCTCCGTCACTGGAGAATTTCAAGAAGAGACTGGACAGCCATTGGTCTGGAATAATATAGGATCACCTGCCATGGACAGGGGGTTGGACTAGAAGACCTCCAAGGTTCCTTCCAACTTTATTATTCTAGAACAGAAAATAATAACAGAGTTGGAAGAGACCTTGGAGGTCTTCTAGTCTAGGGGTCCCCAACCTCTGGGCTGCAGCCCACTGCTGAGCCTTGAGCCTTTCGGGATCGGGCTGCAGAAATGTCAGGTGAGCGTGTGTGCGCACTCCATTTGTGTGAGCAGCGGGTTGAGGAACTCTGTTCTAGTCCAATCCCTTGCTCAGGAAGGAAACCCTATACCAGGGGTAGGCAACCTTGGTTCTTTTATGACTAGTGGACTTCTGGCAGTTGAAGTCCACAAGTCATAAAAGAGTCAAGGTTGCCTACCCCTGCCCCATACCATTTCAGACAAATGGTTGTCCAGTCTCTTCTTAAAAACCTCCAGGGTTGGAGCATCACAACTTCTGGAGGCGATCATTCTATAATCTAATGAGCCAAACCATTTAACTCAATCTTGGCAGTGCTTTCTGACAGGCATTCTCCCTGATTGCAGGCTATAATTTTTGCAGCCTTGCCTGGAGAAGCTGGACATTCAACACTCATAGCATCTACTCTACAAATAATCTATGTCTGCCCCTTACAATTTGCAATGTAGAGTGTTGTAGAAAGAATGAGCCTTCCTGCCTCTCTTTCAAACTTCTTAAAAAGTTTATTGATTTTTTTTAAAATTCACAACAGACTTTATAACCTCAACTGCTCTCTCCTTTTCCTGATGCAACACGTTTCATTGGATGGGTAGGAATAATCAGTTATTGATATCTAAAAAGAGAATGACGGGGGGGGGAAGGAAAGCAAGATGAGTTCAGATATGAAGGTGAAGATAACATAGAAATGGTGTACTATTAGCAGGGTAAATAAAAACGGTGTCTTGTGATTTATAAAGAGGAAGGAAGGATTCCTAAATTTGTAGGAAATTCTTATATTTCTGTTTCTGGAGAAATGTAACTCATTCTTTAGAAATGTGTCCAAAAGTTAGCTCTGGTTCAAATTCAGTGGGAAGAGGCGTCTTAGCTTTCTAAAATTGCCAGAGAATTACATTACATCTGCTATAATTCATGGTACATATAAACTGAGAGCCAGTTTGGACTAGGCATCAGACTAGAACCTGGGAGATCATGAGTTCTAGTCCCATCTTAGCACAAAGCCAGTTGGGTGATCTTGGGCCAGTGCCCCCCCCTGTCTCAACCCTAGAAAGGAGGCAGTGGCAAACCACTTCCAAAAGACCTTGAGAAGAAACTGCAATATTAGTCCAGGCAGTTGACAGGAGTTACTGATACAAAGGCACAACAACAAATACCTCAAACTCCCCCAAATATTCTTTCTGGAAGTTTCCTTTCTGGAGCTCATTCTCCTTTTTCTGTTATTTGCACTCTTGCCCTTGACAAGTGTAATTGTGGGTTGGGGTCAGGAAATGAAAAACATTCTTTGATTTGCAGGTCATTGATTATGGAGGAAAATATTTTGCTTGATGATATTTGGATGCATTCATGAGGGGGAGAACATTTTACTTTTAAAGAAGTGTTAAGTGGGGCATACATTTTCAGTTGACAGAAGAAAAAAAGCAAGAGTTATATTTGTTTCAGTGATATGGTAGGTTCTAGATAATAGAAAATCATGAATACCTAATATAGATAACACTACATTGGATCAATTTTCATATGAAGTGGAGTAATATAATCAGAATACCTAAATTTCTGAAGCTTGAAACACTTGCAAACTTTTCTAAACAGCATTTGCATTTATTTTCTGCAGAGTTGCATGGCCCTTAATGAAGACAAAACAAATTTGGTGCTAGAGAACACAGTAGCTACTTTTCACAAGAGCAGGCTTGATGCTGAATATAGAACTGCAACTGTACAACTACGAGCTATGGATGTAAGCCTTCCATTTTGCTACTTGACAAATGAACTTGAAAATATATCTAATATATGTATAGTTATTTATAAGAGAGTTGCTCACATAGATTATAGTTCCTAGATAATATCTAGGTTAGCGTTTCCTTTCCTTTGTATGGACAAAATAATGAACATAAAAATAACTCCTATAATGGATTTCTTTGCTTCCTAAAAGAATNTAATAGTAAAGTTGGAAGGGACCTTGAAGGTCATCTAGTCCAACCCCCTGCTCAGGCAGGAAACCCTATACCATTTCGGACAAATGGCTGTCCAGTCTCTTCTTAAAAACTTCCAGTGTTGGAGCATTCACCGCTTCTGGAGGCAGGTTGTTCCACTGGTTAATTGTTCTCACTTGACTTGTCTTATGATAGTATTTTAATTAATAAAGATGAATATTTGTAGCTCAGGGTTGAAATGAGAGGTCCTTGGTGCTCTCTGAGGTTGGTTGTTTTCTTGCAGACGTTTCATTACCCAAACTGGGTAACATCATCAGTACTGTTAGTATTTTTGTGGGAATCAGATGCTGCAGACATGCCTTCTGCATATTTGTCAAGCTAGAAATGTATTCAAAAGTGCATGTTATCATACACATGATGTAAAAGTATCACATGAATATTAGCAGCTCTCCTACCTCTGGTTTTCAATGTGGGACTTTAGGTCATAAATTCTCATTTATTCATTGCCTATATGAACACTAAAATCGACTCAACATTGGCCAGGATGCAGAGCGACGAGTGAATTATCCACAAAGGCTATAATTTATGGGATTCCCATATGTTCTTTATGTTACCTTTGGGTCAGATATACAAAAATGAGGCCAATTATTTTTTTCAAATGAATGAATCTCATTTATAAACTTATTTATATATTATTGTACTATTTTGAAAGTTGGTGTAAGAGCATTGGGCCTTTGTAAGGATGATTTTTTATTTCCCTATGTTATTACTCCAAATTCATGGGAAAACGTTATTTTTTTTTGCTGTACAGTTTATCTTTAAGTAAGTCAAAATTCTTTGTGTTTTCCATATTCGGGAATACTATATATGAAGTTTAGTGAATGAGAATAATCTAAGATCATACTATGATTTTAACAAAGTATAGATACTCAGTTATTTGGGGACACAGCTACTAGATTAAAATTCAAGATCTCTACTTCAGGTTTTTTTCCGTATATATGGAAAAAGATCCCGGTTACAATTTATTAATATACAATAGTGTTAAATAATGTTTTGTTTACGTCTATACTAACCTAAACTGAGCTTGAAATAAATCATTTGTCATTGTCATCTATAGAGGCATTTTAATATTATTTTTTCTGGCAGCTCTTCATAATATATTTGAATCGATTCAAATAGATTGGCCTGATAATAGATAAACCAAATTGTTGGTTTATTAATTTATCTGTTGGCAATAAACAAATAGCTAAACTATTCTCTTTTGTCCACTAGAGGGCTCCTATTTATACTTCATTTATACAACGAAATTCTGTCACAATTTTCTTGACTCATGAAACCCAGAGTTAGAATGGATCAGCCATATGAAGACCATCTAGAACTCAAAAACTTTTCAGGATAATTGTTCTGTTGTCAAATTGTTTGTATTGTAGAACTAATGTTCAACCAAAATCTGACAGTTTCTAATGTAAGCCCTTTAATCAAAGCCTTTTCCTCCGTGCTGGCAGAGAGCACATCTGGGAGACAGCTGCTTGGTATTTGTCTTATTGTTATATTTTATACCAGGTTATCCGCATATCCTTCTTAAAATGTAGCATCCAGAATTGGGCAAGGTACTCGGGGGAACATCTGACTGATACGGCAAAAATAAAATAAATTCCTCAGTGACTTCTGAGGATTTGATTTTGGTTGGGTGCCAGTAAGTCAGTGCCAACTCTTAACAACCACACAGACCTGTTCCCGGATAATTTGTCTCCAACCTGACCCTTCAGGTCTTTCAGTGGTTCATCCATCACCCAGTGTAATTGATTTCTTGTTTCTGGTTGTCCTCTTTTTCACTTTCCTTTCACCTTAGCTAGCATTATAGGCTTTTCAAGAAAGTTAGGCCTTCGCACGTGTCCAAAATATGATAATTTGAGTCTGGTCACTTGTGCCTCAAGTGAGACCTTGCGATTGACTTGTTCTAAAGTTGTATTAGAAATTTTTCATTTAAAAATTTGCAGTTATAATCCCAGTGTCTTTTTCATGTGTGTGTGTGTGTGTGAGTGTAACTGCCAAGCATACAATCCTCACCTTTTATATGTGAGCTAGAATTTTCTAACTCCCAAATTAAAAACAAAAACAAAACTTGCATTAATTGCCTGCTTGTTTTAGCTTAGATAGTATAGTTTTCTGTTAAGCAAAAAAGTGGAAAAAAAACCAGAAAAGAAAGAAGAAAGATACAAATCAGTAGCCTCTGATCTTCTCTACAGCAATTAAAAGTAAAATTCTAAATTTGCCTCTTGCTCTATGGCAGTGTTTCTCAACCTTGACAATTTTAAGGCATGTGGACTTCAACTCCCAGAATTCCACAGCCAGCAATGCTGGCTGTGGAATTCTGGGAGTTGAAGTCCACATGCCTTAAAATTGTCAAGGTTGAGAAACACTGCTCTATGGTTACAACTCCTTTCTACAGTCTGTCCTATGTAATCATAAAAACTACAAATCATATGTTCATTTTGGGGGATGATGCAAAAAGTCCCAAAGGGGTTTCGATGTTAATGAAATTGGGTATTTCTTGTTATGTGTGTGTGGGCGGGGGAGGGAAGACGATGGTTTTAAAAGATGCCTAAAAGTTGATTTAGTAATAAGTTAGTTATCATTATCTCCCTGTAGCCTGAAAAAAATCATATGGTATGATCTGTTTTTAAAATATTAAATGGCCTATAGTTTTCCATACTGCTTTTTCAAAAAATTCATCCAAGACAAAAAATTTCAATGGATTGTCTGTTTTGAATGAAAGCTGAATGTGAGCCAGCCCATACAAACAAGAACTAAGTAGTGAGAAGCAGAGAATGTAGATTGCACTTCTACTTTTAATAGATGCATCTATACATTTTAAACTCGATTTAGTTGGTGGGCTTGGGGCTCCAGTGGGGCGTTCTTCACTGGAGATGGTTGGCAGGATAAGAAGACTTTGTCCCTATGCTGTCGGTCCCTTTGGTTTTAATTTTTATGTAACCCTTCTTAATTTAATTTAATTGTATTTATATTTAATTTAATTGTTTAATTAAATTTAATTGTTTTTATATTTATCTTTTTTACCATTTATTAAGCCGCCCACAGTTGCCTTATCAGTAAGCTAGAGGGCATATAAATTTAATAAATAAATGAATAAAAATAAAATACACCAGGAGGTGACATGGATCGAATAATCAGGTGACCAGGTTAACAGACCCAAGGATCCTGTCTACTGCATCAAGAGTTACAGGATCTAATTTTTTCCAACTAACTGAATAGTATTGTGATTCATTTGTGTTAAGTAGGCATGCCCAGTCGGAGTACAGCTCCTAGCAGTTTCAAATGATTTAATCTGTCATTCAAGAAAATTCTTCACCCAGCCTTTAGATGTTTTTGTGGTCCATCTCTTCCTAGAAGAGAATGGGGCATCTTAAAAAATACCGCTGGCATGTATCTGTCGAGGCAATAAGGCTGACCCCAGAGAACCACTGCCAATACATAAATGTTGGGCTAAGTGATCAAATAGCCTGCCTTGGCTTGAGGGAACTTCATCTGTAATTTCTATCGTTGAAGAATAGTCTGAATTATCAAATGTTTATCTTATATCACGGATATTGTAGTTTGTCAAGTGCTTGTCATCTCAGATTGATAACAAACTGACATGGCAGCCATCAGATGTTACTGCTGGACTTGTATCAATTGGTGTATTGTACATTCTGGAGGCTTAACTCTGATTAATGTTTTATTGGATTTTCTTGAAGCCAGTAAAGCTTTCATAAACACAGTTTAGCCTTTTGTTTTAATCTCTTTTATTTATTCCAGCAACAAATTTCTGACCTGGACGTAAAGAAGAATTCTCTTTTGATGAAGTGTAAAAGTTTACTGAGCACTGCTAAAAAAGTTTGTAACCTTGGTATGGATCAAAACCTTCCAGAAGATGTCTATAAGGTAAATATCACAGTAAAAAGATGATACACACACACATACACACACACAAACACACATATATATAAAGACACATATGCATAGTACTCTTCAACCTTTTTCTCCAGGTCACATGATCAAAATTCGGGCACTTAGCAACTGGTATGTATTTATGATAGTTGCACTGTCTTGGAGTCATGTGATCACCATTTGTAATCTTCCCAGCCGGTTTCCGACAAGCAAAGTCAATGGAGGAAGTCAGATTGCTTAAGAACCGCAGGATTTATTTAACAGCTAGCGGAAAAAAGGTCATCAAATGGGGCTCAATTTACTTAAAAACTCTGTTGCTTAGCAGTGGAAATTTTGGGCTCAGTTTTGGTCATGAATTGTATAGGATTTTAAACATTAAAACTAGCGGTATGGATCATGTTCAGATTGATTAAAAGCCCATGAAGCCCCAGAAGTACCTACTAGACAGGTCCTCAGCATCTGGCTGATAGTTGATTTACAGTATTGGGAAACTTCATTTCGGCACATTTTTCAAAGACAAACCTTTCTCTTATTCAACACAAATAATCCAAAGGAGTGCCGCAGTTTGTAGATTACCTGTAGTTCTCATATTATCTCTAGGTCACAAAGGCTACTTGAGGCTGTTTTTCAAATTCATGAATGTTTCCAGTTGCCAATTCAATACTTTTATGCTCTCATCTAATTGAAAAGTCAAGGAGACATAGAATTTAATGTTATCGGATTTCAGAAGTTTCTAAAACATCATTCTCCATTAGTATTTCTTCAAATTGCATTCAAATCCTTGCACTTGTTGCCCACAAAGCCTCCAGTGGATGAGTAGATTTTAATCAGCTAGCATTACTTTCTTAGGAAAGAAGAGAAAACATAAACATTTCTGTGTCCTTATCTTTATTAAGAGGGATTTGTCACTGGAACCATACATTTAGATTTTGGTCAAAGAAGGATGCTATAATACATTTTATTCCTTGTCTACTACTGAAGATTTCCTTGAAATATTGTAGGCATTATTGCAAAATAATGCCCTTTTATTTTTCTATTTTCTCTTGAACCTTGCACAAACACCTCTTTATTTTTCTATTAGTCATGATCAATTGTATTTTTGTGTATGTAGCAGGAGTCCAAAAACATTTATCTGGGAGCGTAACTTATCCAAAAAGTTGTGGAATCAATAGCTTATCAGAAATTCACCATGTCACTTACCACGCTTACTACTTTGTTCCTTTATTCTTTGAAGAACATGATAAGAAGCATCACAACTTTGCAACTGGATAATAGCATGTTGCTAAAGTTGTATTGGATGGTAGCATTGCACAATTATGGGAACAATCCCCCTTTTCACTTCAAGCAATAGAGGAAGCTTGAAGTTGTCCTTTGGTAATGGGATGCTACAATAAATCAATTTCCACTCCCTTTTTTGCTTGAAAGTGAGTAGTGAAAATCTATCACAGTTGTTCCCTTCTGCCATCTCATGTTTATGAAAGGTTATCTGTATCAAGGCAGCGAGACACAAACTAGAAGCAAACAGCTAGGGCCTTGTAGCAAAAAGGCCATGCGTGCACAAAGGAACATACTAAACATCAACAGATGTTTGTGCAGAGTAATTATTTTACACAAATTTTACTCCATCTTTTTAGGCATTCCTGGACCTTCCAAGTACAGTAGATGAAATTGATGCTCTGCTGAATGAGGAGAAAACAAGAGCTTCATGTTTCACAGGCCTCAATGCTTCAGTATGTACTCCCAGTATTGCATTATACTATATTATGTGCATTATGTAAAAATTAATAATCATAGTCTTTGGTGGCGGCGGCAGCTAAGTAGCAGGAATAATGTGTTGTAAATACCATTAGAATTCCAAGTAATTTGTTCAAGGTCAAATATACTCTGTGCTGCTGTTCTTTTAAAAATGAAGAAGAAAAAACAGGTTAGGAAATGAGGAAAAAAGAGCTCTAGTTTACTAGATCCAGTTTTACTTTAAAGGCAATTACCTCTTCGCAGCACCTTCCCCCAATCATATTTGAATGACAGATACGTTTCCACAGTTGAAGAAAACAAACAGTATTCAGTTATAATATATTGTACAGAACTAAAGAAATGTGGGCAGAAGTTAGCTTTTTAATCCTACATTTCCTTTAATTCAAAAAAATTATTGCTGCAACCATGTTGTATTTGATCAGAGCAGATCCTATTTAGAACATATAAGTCAACGTTAAGTATGGTCATACTCTCATAAGACACAACCTTGGATTCTTCTTGCTTGAGATAATAATATGCAAACAAGCTACCAAGTTTAATATAATCTTACTGTGTGTGGAAGTAATCAGTATTTTTACTTCAGATGTGGATAGTTAAAGTTCTGCATTGTCCATTCAAAAGATAATGCCCTTTAACCAAACCAGGTTTTTTCTTCCCAGGTTATTGAAGAGTATAATAAAAGAGTTAAAGAAATAGCACAGACGACAATAGAACTGGAGGAAAAGAAAAAGGAGCTGGACAGCTATAGGCGAAATATTTCACAGGTACTCATTATTACTGTTACTTTCACTATTCTCTTTGTCCTGAAATAAATATCCATGAAGGAATTATATTGTAAGATACAGCATAAATGATAATTGGCTGTAAAATTCTGTCATTTGTTGTGTGCTGCCTGGAATCGCTTTTAGTGAGACAGGTGGATATATAAATTAAAATCATAAACAAATATAAAAGCATACAGGGAAAAATTGTTTGTAAGTTGCCCAGAGGGTAAATAGATGGCCATTTTTTTTCCTTTGAACGACTCTATCCCTTGCATCGGTGTGGAGTCGGGGCAACTGAATGGAGCTCAAGCGTTTACTGGCTGGATGACCTTCCTGACACCTATGCTAAGTTTGCAGCAGACATTTATTCATTGCGCCCAGAGAGAGAAATATCTCCCGCTGCCTAGGGTTGAATTCACAACTTTCTGATTGTGAAGCGAGAGCTCCATCTCTAGGCCACTATGCCACTCTAGTAGGTGGGTGGCCAGATAAATCCAGTCAATCAATCAATCAATCAATCAATCAATAGTATCATAGCTGTATCAGAAGCACTGAGATGCTTCTGGGTTGAAAGGATTAGCCAATGACATCACCGTTGCCCAGGGGACACCTATTTGGGAGCTCCTTTCATGTCCCCGGCAGGAGCTGGAGTGAAAGACGGGAGCTCACCCTGCCCTATGGCAGCACTTAGGTCTCAAACACCGGCTTGCTAACCTCCAACCCATCGTCCTAACCACGTGAACCACCATGCTCCTTATTAAATAAATAAAGGCCAAAAGAACCAAATAAGGTAAATTATAATTGTCTACCCAAGCATTTCAGCTTGCCTCCTGAAGCCAGGATGACTTTTCAATTTTAATGCCTTTTGGAAAGCTGTTAAAGCCTGACTCTTCTGAAAACCTTTTACGGATTGATCGCAAAGCCATTGATTCCAAAATTAGTGTGGAATTGCAGCCTATTCCAGCCATAATGTGGTAACACTAGCATTCATTCCTACTAGGTAGCGGGAGGATTGGAAATGATGGCAGCCAACTGAAGAGCAAATTTGAGCAATATGGCCTTGTGTACATCAGTATGTCTAAACAGAGATGGGATGGGAGTTTCACCCACCTAGTGGCCCCTGATAAATAAATTAACCTGATGATGGTATCTATTGATGCCCATGAAGATTACCAAAATGCACTGTGAGGATGCGGAATCAACATGGTACAAGACAACATTGCCTACATTTACTTTCCATGAAGCAATGTTGATGCATGGAATAATTTGAAATAAGTAATTCAGAGCCTGGATACATCTATAATTTCTGATCACTGTGCAGGTAGATAAGTAATTAAGACCACTATTAATTAATGATATATTGAATGCTTAATTCCAGCATCTTCTGTACTACTGGTGATGGAATCTTTATTGTCATTTCTCTTATGACCAGTCTTTTTTTTTTTTAGGTTAAGGATAGGTGGCTGAACCCTTTGAAACAGATGATTGAACAAATAAATGAAAAGTTCAGCAGCTTTTTTAGCTCTATGCAATGTGCAGGGGAGATAGATCTTCATACAGAAAATGAGGTATGATTATAAAAGTGATACATTCCTTTATAAGGGGAAAACACCTCCCACATGCATACATTTTCAATTAAACAATGGGCAGTAGAGTGCATATTTTTGAAGTTTGTATACTGTCATTTAGAAAAAAACTATCCAAGGCAATAGCTTGTTTCCTTGGAATATATAAACACTTTAAAAAAAGTAAATTATCATATTCCTAGTTAAATTCTGGCAGTCCATGCATAAGGTCTGTGAATAACGTTGACACGATGCAACTTTAACTGGTTTCAACTGCAACACTTAATATACTCCCTCTACATTAAAAACTAACAGAGCTCTACCTAGTAGCACATCAATTTGGGGGACAGATGTTTTGGACTGTATTTTCCACAATCTTTTGCCCCTGGCCATATTGGCAGAACTGATGCAAATTGTATTCTAAAGCATCTGTGGGACATCAGTGCCCATCTTTTGCCATAAGTAAAAAGTAATGATGCATAGAGCATACTGAAAGAAGTAGGGTAATCCAAATATAGTCTGGCTCACTTTGCCTAATTGAGTTCTGTTGAGCAAAGTAAATAGATGCAGCTACATATATACATAATTCTATATCTAGAATATAACTAAGGAAAAAAGCTCATTGTCAACCCAAATATATGAGGCAAAGAAGGCAGGTCCAGCTTCAGTGGTATCTCTGATTGTACCTTCCTTCTGTATTATTGAATGGCTGCCATGTACACTTTCAGTCACTAGAGCAAGCATGGGCAGCTATGGCAACCTTATGACCTGTGGACTTCAGCTCCCAGAATTCCTGAGCCAGCTCAGGAATTCTGGGAGTTGAAGTCCAACAGGTCATAAAATTGCCATAGTTGCCCAACCCTGCACTAGAAGACTGGATTGCAAACTTCATTGGGTGACTCTGAATCTACCCAGCTTCTCTCACCAAATTGTTATGTTACTGTGGTTCTGATAAATTAGGGAATTGTTCATATACGTAAGCCACTCTGAGTTGAAAGAGAAATGTTAGCATAAAAATACAATGAATAAATAAACAGGTTTAAGTCAGATTGGTATGCTTTTCAAGTCAAACCAAGAATGCTTCTTAGCCTCAGCCCCATTTCTAGCAATAAGAAGCTCTTGGGAGAATCCATAAGTACTTAATGAGTATACACGTGCTATTTACTATCATCTACCTGCCATATTAATAAGCATTTCATTTTGGGAGGACAATAAAGTTCATTCATCATAGCAAATTTTCTGATTACTTGAAAATAAAAAGTAGTGCACATAGTGGTATTGATCAAAGCCTGGAGACTCCAAAAATCTAGAAATGTTCATACTTTCTCCATATGTGTCAGCACAGAGTCTTAATCTACTATAACTCAGAAGTCTTGGAAGAAAGCACGTACTATAAGTTGTCTGCTCTACAGTATTTTTTTGAGCATTGGAGTAACAATATCAGAAGAATTCTGTACACTTTGTAGAAAACTGGGCGTTTCATTCACTTTTTTCTCATGGTATTTATCATCATTTGGACTCTGATTTGGGGTCCTCCCAGGTGCTTCATTCAAACTGTCTGAAATCTTTGGCTTTGTGGATTGCATTCCACTTCTGCCTAGCTTGCAAAAGTCAGTTCCTGCTAATAGACAGCCAGTTTCTCTTCCTTGTGGCCACCACTGGCAAAAATTGACCGGATATAGCATAATCACTCTTCTGTAATCATGGTCCTTCTCTGGGGAAAAGCCTTCTTAGCAGTAGTGCCTGATTCCTTAGAATCTCTGGGCACATCCTTCTTGGACTTAAGCAGCCATTATCTGCATGGCACATAGCTTTGGTATCATCCATTGGGTTGGCCTAACAGTCCTTTGCACCTCATTGGATTGGTTGACTGAAACACCGCAGGGACCAAAGAAATACAAAACTAAGGGTCTCTTGCTGGATGGCTAAATCTGAGTTTAAAAAGAGAAACTATCTAAGTTTATCTCTCGGTTACATCCATCATCTCAATTCCTCCTCACTTGGATATTATAATTCAGCAATAACACATGACTTTCCCCAAGATATCAGGACCATCACTACTTCAGCCACCTTTTTCCACCTATTGCTCATCCCAGACTTTCCCGTATGTACTGCTCTCTTTTAGAATTAATGCATCTTAAAATGCCGTTATGCTTCTTGTGATCCATATAACTAGCAGTGATGCCTGCTGAGCCAATTCTGCTTCAGAACAGGGCGTGCAATCCTTTATTTTTGCAAGGTGCATGTGTCTGACCTAAAGTCCAGGACATCACTCTGTATATAAGATTTTCCACAATTCCTTCTTGCCTTTCTACCCTCTGCTTTTCTACCGGTCTTCCTTGCTGCCATCACCACCAGGTGACTCTGCTAATTTCCTGATAGCACTTTGGTGATTGAGCTTATCATACCTGTTCCATCTGTTTCACAGAACATTCACCTATTTACCAATAGAGCAGATTTTGTACTTCAGAGCAAAAGGAAATACAGTACATATCAACAAATCTCTATTTCCTCTATCTCACTGTGTGGTTCCTTTGTTCTAGTTTCACAGCAGACATCACACTGGTCTTACAATTAATCTTTTTTGCCATGATCAGTGATAGACAGTCAAAGTTCTGTCATCTTAACTTAATTTTCTGTTTTCTTCTCTCCTAAAAGTACTAAAAATTACTCCTATTGTCTGTAAAAGTTTACCTCATGGCCATTTCCTCCAGCCATTGCTCCATTCAGAATTTGTTGGTGTTTTCATAGTTGACACAAACTGTTTTCTCAAGCCTTTTGCCAATCTCAACCCATTTTAATCTCCTTTGCCACCACCCTAAAATCAGTCTCTGATTCTCACAACTGTATCACATATTTTTTGGAAACAATGCCACAGTATATACAGTATTTTTACCATCCGAAACCCAGCCTGGAGTTGCTGTTGCTGAGAAGTCTGAACTTTTCATGCTCCATCCCTATACCTGAATAATTTAGATGTCTGTCTTTTGCCTATGATGCTGAATTTTTTTCCAATATAATCTTGGTAAAAGTCTCCCTATCAGCAGCTATACTACTGGAAATAATTTTACAATCTTTAAATGTCCAGTGTAACTGGTGTACTGGGGTACGCATTATATAGCCCAGTTTTTTTTTTATTACAGCCCATCTTTGTCTGCTTCTTGGAATGGAAGAGGTCTTATCATGATAATTTGTCAATTGAATAGTCAAAACAATCTTCCTATCTTATCAGTTGTTGAAGGAATTGCCCTTTGTAGGCATCAGAACTCATTCAAATTGTGACATCCGTCTGATACAATTGTGGTCTGTAGTCATGGTGTCAACTTACCAACTTCATTAGTACCAGTGTCCATGTAACTGAGATGTTTCCTATGGCCATATAGAGATATATGGAGGTAGCCTTGAACAAGGGATGTAAGAGTGATTAATTAAATACCTTGTCAGCCCTGAGAAAGACAAGGGAGTGAGAAAGAAACTCGAGATAACTTCACTTTATCTTTTTTATAAGACAAACTAGACAAAACCCAGTGAAACTTTCAAGCTTTTGTTGTTGGTTTATAGAGTTTCAGCTTTTGTCTGTTTTCTGACCTTGTCAACATATAGGAGTAAGGAGCTTATTGGTCCTAAAAGCAGTATTAAATTAATGGTGTTACTTGCCCCTAGTCATTAAAAAAAAACTTTCTATCCATCCATCCATACCATAAAAATGTACAGGCTGCTGGGTCTTCAAGTAGTAATCCGTGCATTCATGAAACCATCCTCCTTCCCATCTCAAGTACTTTCTGAGTATCTGTTACCTTACAGTTCCCTTTGCAGTGACCTTAAGGGCATTGAGGCAAGAACCAGAATGGGACCACTCACCACGGCCAATTCCCCACGGACACGTCAACACAGCCAACTTGCTCTGGCCAATTCTCTGCAGCCAACTTGCCACGGCCAACTTGCTGCAGGACAACTTGCCAGGGGATTCACTTAGTTCTTTTTGTTGACCACATTTTCATCAACATTATTTTATCTCTTGTATCAAAGGAAATCATTCCTATGACTACCAGCTTTTGTAATGTTTTGATGAATAATAAAAGGAACTTGTCCTGTGGCAAGCTGGCCCATGGCACATTGGCCACGGCAAGTTGTCCTGCAGCAAGTTAGCTACAGAGAGTAGGCTACCGTGAGTTGCCCATGGCAAGCTGTTATAGACCTGGCAAGAATAGCATTCCATTCATACATAGTAGGTTCCTGTCTCCAGTTATAAAGTCCACCTCAGCTATCAAAGAGGGTTGTGCACAAACAAATAATCCATATGTATGAATACATAGATGATACTTCAGAAAACCACAGTTAGAAATAAGCAATCTGTTCTTCTAAAGAAAAATAACGCATTTTGACATAATTTCCATTTATTTTACTGGAGGAACTGCTAGCAAATTTACAAACCATCTGACTGACATAAGACTTGCTCGAGAGTACCCAGTGAGATACCTGGCTTTGATAACAAGCAAGGTGAATTGTTTTTCCATGCTGGATTTTTCTTCAGCAGGTGAAGAAAACACTAGCAACAGTGCCAACACTTCTTCCCCTGTTCTGTTGCCCCAGCAACAACTTAAGGCACCAACCTAAGAGAAAAATAAAGGGAGTACTTATTGCGAAAATTATGCAAAATAGGGAAATATTTTTATTGTTCAAGAGTTTAAAGATTGGTTTGAGGAAACATTTGAACAATATGCAAAATATGTGTTTATTTTTTTTTGTTGCTAATACAGGTAGTCTTCAACTTACTTTTGAGTCCAAAATTATTGCTAAGTGAGAAACCTGTTGAGTTTTGCCCCATTTTACGACAACACAGTTGTTTAAGTGAATCACCACAGTTGTTAAACTAGTAATACCATTGTTAAGTGAATCTGGCTTTCCCATTGACTTTGCTTGTCAGAAGGTCACAAAAGGGGATCACGTGATCCTGGCTCACTGGCAACCATCATCAATATGAACCACTTGTTAAGCATCTGAATGTAAATCAAGTGACCATGGGGATGCTGCAACAGTCCTAAGTGTGAAATACGGTCATAAGCCACTTTTCTCAGTGCCATTATAACTTCGAATGGTCACTGAATGAACTGTTGTATGTCAAGGTCTACCTGTAGTGCATTGTTTCTTAATTGTGCTTGTGTCCTTTTTGTCCTTCCATAGGAGTTTAAAGCAGCTTCAACATAGATCTCCAGCTATTCTATTCCATTGATAGAAGCCCTGCTTAGTATTGGGTGTAAAGGGCACACTGACTTCATCACCTGGTTCCCTAATCTTGTCCTTCATTCACATTCACATGAATGAAGTCTTCCTGCAGGATTGAAACTTAGCACAGCATAGAGACTAGGGAGTGGCTTGGAGTAAGACAACAATGTTGTGTATGGTCCAGTGTTGCTTATAATTTCAATACCTTGCCCACATTGAATACCTAAACAGGAATTTAGGGGAAGCATAACTATAATTTAACTGGGATATCAGAACTGACAAACCATGATTTGCCACCCGACTTTGAAATCATGTCTGCAGGGTCTGAACAGTGAACCATAGTCATGTTTCTTTCTGGACCTGCAGAGGCACAATCATCAGTTAGCTCAGTCATCAGGAATTAAAATGAGAGCAAATTAGAGATTGATATCAAGATGTGCGGCTGTTGTTTACCACATGCTTGGAAGCTCAGCGCTTGATCTGGCTTCTCAGTTATGGTTATGGTTAGTGCAAACCTTGCTTCGGTGTGGTATTTTGTCTTTTCAATTGATTAAGTCAGGGACTATATATATTTAAAGATCTCTGACCACAGGCATTTGTGTTTTGACAGGAAGAATATGACAAGTACGGGATTCGGATTAGGGTCAAATTCCGGAGCAGCACCCAACTTCATGAGTTGACTCACTACCATCAGAGTGGAGGAGAGAAAAGCGTTTCCACAATATTGTATTTAATGGCTTTGCAAGAACTCAACAGATGCCCTTTCAGAGTCGTTGATGAAATAAATCAGGTAAATATATGCTGATACTGGAAACAAAAGCTTCCTTCACTCTATTCAGTAGCAGAGAAGAAATATTGCTCTTTATTTCTTTACAGGGAATGGATCCAGTTAATGAAAGGAGAGTCTTTGATGTGGTAGTAGAAAATGCCTGCAAAAAGAGCACTTCACAATACTTCTTTATTACACCAAAGGTGTGTAGCTGAAAACTCTGCATCTTATGTAGATTTTGTATAGACAAACCCGTCTATAGCTTATCTTTTTCCATTTTGCACAAATCAAATTATAAATCAGCTTTATTCTATCCGCAGCTGCTTAAATAGTATGTACATTCATACTCACCCTTAATGTAATTTTTAATGTTTAATCTTTCCTTTAGGTAAGTTTTTTTTTTTTGTAATTTTGAAGCTAGAACTGAACCAATTTAATTTGGAGAAGAGTGTATATTGATTATTATCTGTGCACAATAATGTGAAGTCACAGCTGCCAGTTCTTTACTGGTGTTGGCCTTCATACTCATTGAGTTCTGCCCAAGAATCTAGGATGTCATAGGATCAGCGTAGTGTATTTACGCTGTGCGGCCTTTTGCAATTGACAGATTGAAATTTTGTCAATTTGCAGATTTTCTGATTAATTATTATTATTATTTTATCCCACCTAATAATACTATGTATTAGTCTAAAAATAGGGAATGATCACTCTGTTAAAAATTACAGACAATGAAAGTTATTCTCATTTCTGATTCTAAATTTGGATTTGCTTATTAGAAAATAAGTAATACTGATAGCCAAAAACATATAAAGCTTAGCTTTAAGTCAGGAGTGTCCAACCTTGGCAATTTTAAGACTTGTGGACTTCAACTCCCAGAATTCCCCAGCCAAGCATCATGGCTTGGTGGCAAATTAGAAGAAAGAAAATTAAATAATGAGAAATTGACAAGCAGAGTCTGAACAGTTCTTTCCTTTTCTCTTGATGTCATTCTCCTCCATGGTATTTGTTTAGGGCCACTTCTTTGATAGCAAGGCAGATAATAGTGGCCTCCACAGGAATAACATCATCTCGTAAATGCAAAATCTTCCTGACCCAAATGGATAGGTTACAACATTTATGTGATGATATCCCCAAGCATATTACATCATCTCCTCTCCCCCACCCCAGCCAAGAGATGCTCAAAGGCTGCATACTGAAAATGTTTGCTAAAACTCCAGCTGTTTTATAAACTAAATGTAAGCAATCAGAAGTAACCATCCCTGAATGTAATAAAATTAACTCTCAGGTAACTATGTATAGGTAGTCCTTGCTTAGTAACTGTCCTGTTTAGTAACCATTTGAAGTTATGACAGTGCTGAAAAAGGAACTTTATGACAGGTCCTCACACTTATGACTGTCACAGCATCCCTGCAGCCACACTTAATTGAGATCCGGGCACTTTACAACGGGTGGGCGTTTATTAACCGTTGCTGTGTCCTGAAGTCATATGATTTCTATTTTACATGTTTCACAGCTGGCTTCCAACAAGCAGTCAATGGAGATACAGGAAAACAGCAGTTGCTGTCTTATGTTGTCAGTCCCAGTCATAATTGTTAAACGAGGACTGCCTATATACCCTAACAATTCTGCCCCATGAATATATGCGTAAACAATTATTGTTGGTGTATTTGGAGAGGAAATAAGACTATCAGTTAAAGGAGCAATAAATTTGGCAAAAAGTTGATGGAGGGTATAGCTTCCCACAAGATAATTTGTTTATATACAAACTGAAACAAATTATCTGTGGGAAGCTATACCCTCCATCAACTTTTTGCCAAATTTATTGTTCCTTTTACTGATAGTCTTATGAATGTCCACTTATCATAATACTGGTTTCAAACTATTTTGAAGCTTCTTTGTTTTCTAGCAAGAATTTTAGGAAACATGTTTACTGGCATTACTCCAATTTCTTTTTCTTTTTTAAAAAGAATCTTAATAGTATGTATTTCTTCCTAGCCTTTTATTTTATTAATCTTTGCTTGTGCATATACAGGTAGTCCTCGACTTACAGCAGTTCATTTAGTAATTGTTTAAAGTTACAATGGCACTGAAAAAAGTGACTTATGACCATTTTTCACAGTTACAACCTTTGTAGCATCCCCATGGTCACATAATCAAAATTCAGATGCTTGGCAACTGGTTCATACTTATGACCGTTGCTGTGTCCCAAGATCATATGATAACCTTTTGACAAGCAAAGTCAATGGGGAAGCCCAATTATTAACTTATCAACTGCAGTTATTCACTTAACAACTGTGGCAAGAAAGGTTGTAAAATGGGACAAAACTCACTTAACAAATGTTTCTCTTAACAACAGAAATGTTGTGCTCAAATGTCATAAGTCGAGGACTACCTGTATACTATTTTTTCGATTAAAGGTAGCTCAACAACCAAGCTCAGAGAGCACCAAAGATCTCTCATAGTTTTTTTTTCTTTATTTATATATTCTGCAAACAGCAAAAAATCTCTTGGCTGTAACTGTTAATATCTTAATATAGTAGTGTTTATTTAATTGATCCAGCCCTGGAGCTGAAAATTAGTAGTGACAATAGAGAAACTGTTCACAATTTATTCTGCATATATTATCTTAACCTAGCTAGCAATATTGTCTATACTGTTGAACCAAATAGAATAGCAATACCAGAGAAAAACGGAATGTAGCTGCTATGGGGAACATTCAGTATATAACAACTAATAACCAAGCATGCTCGTTAAAGAATAAGTAATAAGATTGTTTAACAAAATACTTTTTCCTTGCTTCTTAACAGCTGTTGCAGAATCTCAGTTACGGAGACAAAATGACCGTATTATTGGTCTACAATGGATCACCTATGCTAGAATCAAACAAGTGGGACTTAAAAGCTTTCTTTAGAAGGAGGCGGAGATTTCAGCCATGATTAGCAGTAAAATATATATTCCTTTTTGAAACTGAAAAGAAAAATATTTGGAAAGATCAAGAATGAATGTATTTCTTAAAAGCACAATTTCTCTCTTGTAAAAGCCATTGATAGCCAATGTTTTATAAGACTGAAACACTAACCTTTTCTTTTATGCTCATTTTTCTCTGAAGAACTGTAGATATCAATTTGGAGGATAAATTGATAAAGGATATATTTTCTTATCAGCGATCAATTGTTTTAGATGAATTTGAGAAAAAAATGTTTTGCCAGTTGTTCACAACTTGGAAACCTTAATTACTTTGTTATAATACGCCTTATAAATACAGCCTTTGAATTAACTGGTAAACTGGTAGGTTCACCAAATCTGTTCAACAAAGTTTAACTGTTTAAATATCTGTTCTCCATAACTATGAGATACTGAACTATGAAAAGTAGTCTTTCCAATTGCTGCTAAATGATGATCTTAATTGTGTTCTGGAAGACTAAAATAATTTCAAGAATTTCTGAAATATATAAAATATGCAGTGTCTTTTTATCCTAATCTTAGGAGCAACCACTTGCTTGACTGGGTAATTTTATACAAGGTACCATTCTTACAACATGGGATATATTTACATTTTGTTCCATATGTTTGTCTTTTTTATAGGGAAAAATGCCAAATCTCTTTTTATATAATAAATATATATGGGAAATAGTAATTTATTTTCAGTTTTTTAACCCCTATTAAAATGGCAATAGAAATTGACTCAGTTTTTGGGTATTTCTAATAATCAAAAATATCCACTAAGTATGTCAGTCTTCAAATCATTTTTGATTAGCATATCAAAAGCATAAAGACTTTGAGACTGTTTTCATCAACAAGAAACATGAAATTTGTCTTTGAGAACCTAAGGAGCAAAATCTGTCTCCAGTAGAGAATATTATAGAGGAATAAGAGAAATGTGTAATTTCCATAATAATTATTTAAACTGCATTTTAAAAGTGAGACTCATGAGACACCATGATTATTTAATTCTGAGTACTTAATGTTTATTGTAATTTGAATGTTTAATGCAAGAATGCAATAAGTTCAGAGGTATGGGTATTCAAGAGTAAATACTTTATTGGGTTTAGTTAGTTATTTCTCAAGTGACCTCCTTTTTATTTATTTACACACCACACACATGGGGGGGGGACAGAGAGAGGGGGAAATGGTGGCAAATGTTTAAGAACTGGCTTTTGCCTGCTCCATTCCTGCAGAACAGCTGATCAACATGCTAAGTGTATTGGCTCAGCTCCACTCTCAACCACCTTGTAAACTTCTAGAAAATACAACAATCAGCTCTCATGTGCTGGCTGTAGCACCCTGTGGTGTATATATGATTCCTTCTTATAAGGTTACATTTTAAGCCATGAAGTTTGCAACTAGACCAAAACATTTGTTAAATATGAACCCTAGCTGCTCTTTTGTGGATTTGTTTTTATTTTAATTATTATTTTTCCCATAGGCTGGTATGAATGTGCAGAGTTTCGATTCTGATTGTGGCCATTCTCCTATTTAAAAAAATGTGAATAGTAAAAGAAGCCCTTTTAATTAGATCTCTATGATTAGTGCAGTAATTTCATACTGAGATGCTAGGAGCAGAGGGGCTAATAATGTTCCTTGTTTAAAACTATTGTTTTATGAAAGTGACTAAAAAAAACTAAGATAATTAACTCTACATAGGAAAGGAAAACACTGACCCTTTTCTCCTGAAGAGTTAAATAGCAAGTATAGACCTTTCCAATCAGTTGATTTTCATTTAATAAAAACCCAAAAGTTTAAGTTTGGGCTTTGGGACCAGGCAGGTGGAGTTCATTTTTTTTTTCTGCATTGTCACTTGATGCTGAGAACTTTTCTGTTTACTTACATCACTTCCTTTTCCTGGAACTCTAGAGAGCTTATTACTCCCATACAGAGACACAGTGTGTAGCATTGTGTGTGCCCTTGCAACATAGATTAGCTACAGTGTTCTTTCATCATGCAGCTCAGTAACTATCTGTGTGGGAGAGGTAACAATGAAACTCCAGCCAAGTTGCTGAAGAAAGTGTAATTGTAAGAGTCTGGATACTTGGATGGATTAAAAATGTTTACAGCAACCAGTAGTAGTTTTTGAAGGTGTAGGGAAAGAATTTGAATTAGGTTCATTTCAGTTCTCTTACTCAAATTGCTGTGCTCAGAGTGTTTGAATTCTATGTATAGGTTTTCTTTAATATTGAACTGACTCTAGTTTACCGCCAGAGGCCACTCTAATACCAGCTGCAGGAGATTTGCTTTGCCATGTGGACTTGGAAGCTTTTAAAGGAAGTTAATGCCTTCAATTTCAGAATGAAAGGAAGGCCTCTTTTCTAACTGAAAACTATTTGGGACTGCACCTTCTCTATAGCAAGTGTCTATTGGCTGTGGGGAATGTAGACCAGTTACACCAGGCGTCTTCAAACTTGGCCCTTTTATGACTTGTGGACTTCAACTCCCAGAATTCCTCAGCCAGCGTGCCTAGCTGAGGGATTCTGGGAGTTGAAGACCACAAGTCATAAAAGGGCCAAGTTTGAAGACCCCTGAGTTACACCAATGGTGGACACTTTTGGAAATCTCAGACAGGAAAACAAAACAAAAAGAAGGAAACACTGGTCCTGTGGAAATAGTAATATCATCAAGGGTTGCTAAATTGCAGATAAGGTAGAAGCAGGATTCCACCAACACTTTGAACTCCTGGAAAGACCCTTATCTTTCTGCTTGAAATAGATAAATAATGACTGATTTACTTTATTACAACTTAGAGAAGGAATGGGGTTCTAGGCTGTTTGGATGGAGAGAGTTGCAAACAGGATTGCAGGTGACAGGTTCAGCAATAATCTGTAAAATAACCTAATCAGCCTTTGTAATGTTGGGTAACATTTTGCCATCCAGGTGTTGTTGAAGTATAATTCCCATATTCCTTTACCATTGAGCATGTTGGCTGGAATTGCAGGGAGTTCGGACTTCAGTATCATCCAGACAGTACCAAAAACTGCATGACCTAAGCTTATGATTTCCTGTGAGGGTCTATGTGGTGCTTACAGTCGTTCCCAACTTTATATACCACAGTAATTCTCAGCTAAAGGATCTAACATATTTGAAGAAACTGAAATTATGAAAGATTGCCCTAAAGTTACATCCTCTTGTGCAATCATTGTCTGTTTTTTTTTTCTCATCAAACTTTTGCATTCCTGTTTTTGGCCATTATAAACAAAGTTATTCCAACTGGATGCACTTATGCCCCAAAAAATCAAGGAGTTCTTGTTACAGTATTAACACACACAAGCTTACATTTCACATTATATGAAGAACATATATATGACTTAAATAAGCTAGATTTTAAGTGTAGGCACTTGGAATTATTCTTTGTACATTGTCTGAAGCTGCAATGTTTAGGTCATAGACATTTTTTTAAAAATGGATGATATTTTACAGTTACATGTGAGTAGATTCATTTAATACAATAAAGCTTATTTCTGCGTAAGCCACAGGGTTTCTGTAAGGCTCAAAAGGATTCTGACTTCTGCATATTGTCCTGTTGACTTTCTTGGTGCTCAAGTGTTAAAATTCTTGCTTCTTTATTTATGGCTAGGATTATTTTTAATGTTAAGTTTTTATGGCAATCTTCACGGACTTATTATTCCCTGACTTGCAAGTAATGGAAGATGGCTCAGGAACAAATAAAAAATGAGTATCATTTGAATGGGCAATCTGAGTTATGTTGGGAAAAGGCTGATAACATTGTGATGCTGTTGTATAAAATATATCTTGCCAAAAATATGAAGAAGGCATTAAAGCAATATTCAAAATATTAAGCAAGAATGAATGTTTGGTGTTGCTAGTATTGAAAGCAGATTACGTAAAATAATGTAATAATAGATTTTTAAAAGTATTGGTTTAATATCCATTTTCCCCTTAGGCTTAATCCTATTTGTTCTGGTAGGAAAACACTGAAGTTGAAAGAGCTGTTGATAAGTTGTTATCTTATGGGCTGTTCCCCGCATTCTTTACCCCTCTAGAACAAGACCAGGCTAATCAGATTTTCCTGCAAGGAGTTAAAGATACCAAATACCACAATAAATTAGACACCACAGAATGTTAAGGTTTGAGTTAAATATTCCACCTGGGAGCCAGAAATTTACCTTTGCTCACTTTTTCAAAATCACAAAAAGAGTTTTCAAGGTCCAGATAGGAACTATTTCCATCTGCATTTCTAGCAGGTAAATACACATTCCTGGAAAAGGATACATTAGATTTCACTATTCTGTATCTACATAGGACCAAATTTGATTTTTTTTTTTAGCATAAATAAAGAGAATGGGTCCTTTTAAGCCTAAAGTGAAATGTACTTATTCTTTGCCTTAATACAAACCCAAAATAAATGCCAAAAAGTTCCAGTCTAATAACAATACAGGATCACCCCAACTCTCCTTCTTCCGTCCCCCCTGTACTATCCATCATGGCCAATTCTCCTATCTCCCAAAGGTCAGGCTGGGAGCTGGCTAGGGAACTAGGAGAGTTGGGCTAATACTTCTGGAAGACAGTAGATTTGGAGCCTTGACTTTGCAAAACATAAGATCAAAAGTAACATAATCAAAGCAGAGTATGTCACAATATCTCTTTACATAAGTGAAACAAAGAATTATTGCTTAATTTGATGCTTTCTTCAACGTATACTTGCCTCTGTACCCATAGGAAATTCAAAGTGAGTAATGGTATGAAATAAAATAGCATAAGTAGATGGCACAGGTGACAAAGGGTGCACCTTTTCCTAACAATTAGGTTATGATTGGTAGAGGACTGTCCTTAAATCTGGTGTTGAAATTTAATGTTCATCTTTGGCAATTTCTGCCCTATTGAAGCAGCATCCTGTTGTTGCAAACTTGCATGAGAACCCCTGAAAAATAACTCCAGAAACCAAGACTAAAAAATAAATGACTCATCTTGGCACACACTCCTTTTTCTGTGTGTCAGACAGAACAGCCAGCGCATCAGAGCTTTCCATACTTCCGAGGGTGGTAAAATGAGGACCCAGATTGTTGGGGGCAATATGCTGACTCTAAACCGCTTAGGGCTGCGAAGCACTGTGAAGCAGTTTATAAATCTAAGTACTATTGCTATGGCTATAGGAAAAGATGAGAAGGAACAAACCAACACTGTTTCACATTTAATGCACTCAAAATGCATGCTGAATTTTACAAATCCAACTTAGAAGTGAGGGTTAGTTCTGGACTAGTTGCTCTACCTTGAGGATTGAGTTGCCGGGTTGGAGTAGGAAGGTTGGTATCAAAGGATTGCCCTTACACCTATCTTGACTTTGGTAACAGAAGCTGCTGCATCAACAAGATACTTTGACCAACAGGCTCTCGGATAAGATATGTGTAGCATGTAGGAAGATCTTGAAAGTTTATGCAAAGTGTTCAAAATAAGAACTGTTGCTTGGGTTCTTGCTTGCAACTACCAGAACCCCCATCCTATCAGAATGAAAACAAGGCTGCTGCCTTCCAGGCACCATTGTTTTCTTAGTACAATTCAAAATATTCAAAGTATCATTCAGAGGACCATGGAATCTCTTTTGAGTATTGAGATTGAGATCTGCATAAAGGGCTCTTC